AGGTACAGTGCTGTCCAGAAATAACCTAACAAAAACCCCGGTTAACGGAGGTCAGACCGAGGTCGAACCGCGGTTAGACGGAGGTTAAACCTCGGCCTAACTCGGTCTGCTGGCCCGGAGCTACGGGGGGGTTTAGGGGGGTGTCACCCCCCCAGAAAGTTTATTCTTAGGTTTAGTCGGTAAAATTGCTATTTTAGTCGGCAGACAAACATACTGTTGACACTATAGACCGATCCAATATAAACTTGACAAAGTTTCATCCAGAGTGTAAGTCCGTCGATCAGTCGGTTTAGATTACCTCACACCCCCCCTGTATAATATCCTGAGGACGGCCCTGTCGGTCTGGCAGGCATTTCTTGAGATTTTTTCGATTTGGTTGTTGGTTTTCATTCTCAGCTGTTCATATGTCGTTCGGAAGCGAGCGGCGAAGGTATTCTTTCCCTTGCGGTCGTCTGCGGTTTCTATCGCTTGACCGCGAGCGAACCGCAACCTTATAGGCCCACACAGACAGGACGCGAATTGGCAACGCGGCGCGAATTTTCAACGTTTTATATTTTTCAAAAGCTAATAAATTTTAACATATCAAAATTTTCTTTTAGATTGCTTTAAAATAATAAATTTAGATTGGTCTAGCGTCCATAGATTCCAAATTTTGATCCCAGAATTTAATTTGTATGCTTCTGAAAACTGAAAATTCGCGCCGCGTTGCCGCTTCGCGTCCGGTCTAGATCTGTGTCGACCTTATCTCACTTATTTCCAGATCTTTTCTTATGTTTTGTAGTGATAATACGCGCTAACTTTATATCATCACCAGAAATTTGTGACATGGTTATTTGCATATAAACTAATTTGCATATAACTTTCAACAATATAATGGCCTTTAACTTTTACTATAAAATACATATAGCAAAAGTACACCTAAAATTGCCGTTACCCTTGATCTTGCCCACTATTTGCCGACCTCGTGATCAATAGAACAGCCGTTTTACAAAGTTCCGCCCGAACTGACTGTGCTCAAATGTGTATATACGCTTTGTATCATAGCTAATTTTAAGAATTTTTTATCACTGCACATGTCATCACAATAATAGTATAGCGGAGAGGGGGGCATGATAAAAATGGTCCTAACTGGAAATTGGTAATTTAAAGATGGGGAATTGTAGGGGTCTGCAGGACGCCTGGCAGAAAATTTTGTCTTTTGGGGCCCTATGACTTGATTTACAGCATTATGGGGGACAACTACTTATGAATCTACCTCGGCAGAGTGATGTCTGTTGAGAAAATACCATTTATCACTGCACGTTTCTCATTTTATCTCTGCACATTCTACTTTTATCACTGCACACTAAAATTAGGTATGTTTTGTTGTATGGTTGAACTGCCTTATGAGACTGATAAAATTTTCAATGTGCGACTGCAGAAAAAATCCAAACCGTACAGGAAAATTAACATTAGGAATACGACAGACAATATCTTTAACAAAATTTCTAAGCGGAATATTACACGGCAATTATTCATTACCAATCCAAATAGAAATGTTCGTATGAATGTGAGCGATTTTATAAGTTGGTTGAAAGAACACGGCCAAAATTTTGGGCAATATATTCTTAAATTTGGCGGACTGCAGAAATTCCCAGGGTAAGAGATTCTGTTACCAAAATGCTTCTAAACAGCTGTTCTATCCATCTCGAGGTCGGCAAACAGTACCCCAAGCCTGTGGCTCTGACGTTACGACGTTTTATATTTTCAGTCAATTATTTATTATTCCGGCGTCAGCGACGAAGTTGAAAATTCGCCTCGGTTTTTTTGTTTGTTTTGTTTTTCTTTTTATTTTTCGTCGTCGCATGTGTGTGTGTCTTGTCTCCCAAGAGTTGTGGTGCACAGCTTTGGCTAATTTTCCGATGCGCGATTCGATTTCGCTCGCATAATACGGCAATTCCTCCAAGAGGAACAAATAAACGGTTCTTTCAATCTTTTGATGCTGTTCGATTAAGTTTAGATTTAATTGGGGTGAGAATATATTTAATACATGTATATATTCTGGTCCTATTTTAATAATATCGCTGCTATTTCGCCGTTTGACAAGATGTGGCCGTGTATGGGCGCGTTGACACGTCGCAGTTTGAATTGATATAACTATATAAGCGCGAATTCCAAAGGCAAAGTGTAAGACAAAGTGAACGTATCATGCCGTTTATTTACATTTTTGAACAATTGAACTTCTATACTTTTTAAAGTACGATGTGCTTCTGAATTTCGCGATCGAATAACATTAAGGTTGGCAAGGTATCTAAATAAGTCTGAACTGTATTGTTTATGTTCAGAAGCTTTCTTTTGAAGACTGGCACGTGCATGGTACGCCGGAGTTAACGCCAGAACAGGCGTCTTGTTCTATAGTAAAACTCGAAGGCCATTATGTATGGATTAAATGCAGATTAGCGCACAAGCGACAGCCATTTTGTCACCAATTTCTGGTAATAAATGCAGTTGAGAAATTATTTATACAATACTGTCTAGAATAACCTAACCTACCTTGGTTTAGTCGTATACTATACTAATATTTGGCTTTCAATGACTTCGAAAACAGTAAATTTCTATAAGAAATGTATTTTACCAATCTAAAATTTGCACAGCTGGATGAAACTGGCAGGCAGTTAAGCCACGGCCCATGCATGCACCGCGTATACTCTGTCGGTATAGGTGGAGAAGGGAATAATTATGAATATTCGATAGTTTTATTAATTATTGATTTGTGGTATCTTAGTGATACTTTTATTTATTCCAGAAAAGCTTTGCGGGAAACGTTTATCAGTCAGTATATACATGACGCTGGGACCTGGAACACGTTTATTTAGCTCTTAATGTAATTCTAAAACGTTTTCCTTGCTAAATCTTTGAAATATAAATGTAAGAAAGATGTCTAAGGCCTGGAAAGAATCAATATGGACCTTCTTAATCGCGTGTATACTAATTTTACTGAAGAGATCGAGGGCGTCCCAACGGAATCCTTACTGTCGACAAGCAATTTTTATGAAAAGTGAGAGTAAAGGTTAGTATATACTGACTCTTTCTTTACGTTGTCAAAAAAAACAAACAGATTACTTATTTATTTTATTTGTTGCGAATTTGTCCTATTATATAGAGACTAAAATTGCCCTATTATTCGGCACACTATCCAGGGTTTCCTTTCTGGGCGCAAAGAAAAAAATACTTCGGTTTAATTCGTCAAGAATCCTGAAAGATCTCACGAAATAATCTGTTTTCATTGGTCAAGAAGTTTAAAGTTAATTTCATCCTGTTTATCTGCTTAATTGCCATGCAGCCATTTTCCACATGCATTAACCGAAAAAAACTAGCAAAGACGTACTAATTTTTATCATTGCCTTGGTATATAATGAAAATTTCAAAATTTCGGGACCCCAGTTTAATGAACAGCAAACCATATACTTTTTTTTATCCAAGCCATTTCTCTTCGTGCTTCGTACTTGCTACCACATTCGTTAACACTATAATCATTGGCGGTGCGTCTACACTATTAACGACATGCTATTTTGTTGCCGCAGATGTCAGATTTTTTAATCAAAAAACCCAATACAATAATCAGTATATACATATATTGTATATTTAGATATAAAAGAAAGTTGTGAAAAGGATTGCATGCAGCCATCAAAAGTATGGATTCTACAAATACAAATTCCGCACATGCAGGCAAATTGTCCAAGAAGAGCAGGAAGGTTTTTGTCAGTAAATGACTGATTTTCTTAAAAAAAATTAACATGTAGCCACCTGTATATAATGCATTTGATGCCTTTGGAGAATTTCAGGCGGTCACCGCATTCACAGCGTGTCTTAAAAAAAATGAAGCTATATTGAAATCATACTGTTTTAATCGTTTGAAACTTCGATTTTAAACCATTATTTAATTGCTGCCATGGTATAATGCAGCAAAATTGAACAGGCAATGTTTATGTACTCTAGCTTTATGATTATTTTTGTATAGAATGATGGGAACATTAGCTATAATATACTCGGTAAAATATAATAAGACTGATTTGAGTTTTGTGTCATTTCATAATATAAGTTTAGGTCAGGTTAGCTCAGGAGATTGTGTACTTGGTTTGAAATAGCGAGGGGTTGCTGCATGCATGTATTTCCAGTATAATCCCTGAGCCTGTGTGGAGCACCGTGCGAGGCCACTAATTCCGCTCGGATAGTCACACCCTCGATGTGCATATGTGAAAACAATGTCGCCCGCCATTATGCAATGGACCTCACGCCATGGACGGTCTTTTACGCTATGCGCATGCGCTAGTGTAAACTACTTAGCTCTTGATTGGTCAAGACAAATATTTGTATTTTCAAATGTAAACGCATTACTGTAATTTCGCAAAATTTTGATGAAATTTATCAGTAAATTTAGTATTTGCATAAATATGGAATATATATTTTTAAATTACATTAGAGGGAAATTCGAATGTGGGCAGGACTTTTTACGGTTTAACAAATAACAAGAACAAATTTTCGACCGAATTCACCGTGTATATACATTATGAAGTCGGAAGATAATAGGGAGCTTTAGTATGCAGCAACTACGAGTACGAGATTCGTCATTCTCGCGCGTTGTTTGCTTACGGCATTAGCCAAAACTCGTAGTCGTTGGGCTTTCGAGTACGAGTTTTCAGTCAGTGGCAAATTTCGTACTCAAAAGCTCGGCGACCACGACTACGAGTTTTGGCTGATGGCGTAAGCAATTAACAACGCGTGAGAATGACGAATCTCGTCACTGCTAAAACTCCCTAATATTTTACTTTCAATTTTCAATACACATTACTGTATAAAGTTTTAGAAACGCATGAGTTGTTTTTCTTGTATTGTCGAAATTTTTTAGTATCGTTTATGGATACCCATCTGACTTTTCTTAAACCCTGAACTAAAAGATTGCAGAAAGTATCCAGTGATGTTGACCTGTGTCCATGTCTGCACTGTTATTTTTAGGGAGTTATTTTAACACCAAAAAAGGGGTCAAAAAAAAAGGTTCAAAATGAGTAGCTTTTTGGAGTAACAAATAACTCCACTTCTGGTGTTATAATTTAACACCGCTTTTGGAGTTAATTTAACTCCAATTCTGGACTTAAAACATAACTCCATTTTTGGAGTTAAACACATTTAACACCGTTTTAGGTGTTAGGCCGGTTTTCTACTATATAGGTAAATTATTTCGATCGAAGGAAATTTTTCGCTTGATTTTCTTTTCAATTGTGATCTATCCAGTAAATCTGCCTCGGTTTAATTTCACAATTGAAAAGATAAATAAATTGAGCGAAATATTCCGTTCCATCGAAGATTTCTACCTATAATACCGATCGAGTCAACAAACAATGCAGCACAAATATCGTTATTATATTATTATAGTATTGAATACATGAGATCAATTACATTTCTGTTTGAGTACAGCAAGTCAACTACGCATTAAAGGAATTGCTTCTATAGTATAGCTCTTTAATACTTTTTATTTACACTTTAACACACATGCACATTTGCAAAAAATTTAGAAAATGTTTTTAAGTGGAGTACCATGCATGCATGAAACATAATGGTATAGTCATTAAGACACTGGTTGTTCAGTTCTACTAGAGTTCTACTAAGCTAAGACTCACTCTACCAAGATGATGACCTGGCTGTATAAGCAATACTGATCCACGTTTCTTCTTTTACAATTTTCCTCGTAGTAAAATTTTCGGAGGTTTCCTGTTGTGCCAATTGCACGAAACGAGTCTTCAATCTACGAACAAATAGAAAAATTGCATGTATATGAGTGTAAATTCGAGTAGTGTGCTTTGTATGCATATAACAGAGCACATTGTTCAACAGACCTTCAAAATCTATATGTTCTATGTGATCCACAATGCAAACATACTCAAACAAATAAGCAGAAACGTGTGAGTATAAGGAAGGAATAATTTCAAGTAACTTAGGCTTAGCTAATATAAAAAGAATAGGAAAAAAATTCCACATACCTAGATTTACTGCATCATGGTAAGTTGCTTCGTCCATTGAGAATTGAACAGTTATTTTGGGGTTGTTTTCAACATCGTTTTGCTAGGTTAGGGCCTGGTTAGGGCTTTCTTGTATTGAAATTTGTGTTTGAGTTTCCCATTGGCATTGCTTCTTCTAACCTCTACCGGGCATTGTGGACTTCTGTCCTTCTACTGCTTCTAAAGATACGAATTCGAATTGTTATAGACTATTAAAATATCCCAGGAACTTTAAGGTAAATATCGGAGGCTCGCGATATCATGTATTCATGCTGATCAGAAACAAAAAATACTTCGCCGTCAGTTTTGCGACTGAAAAACTCTTTTGGCAACAGCCCCCCAGAAAAAATAAATCGACCAGCATCAAAAATTATAGAAACAACTATTTGAAAAACATTTTAGAATCAAACTATAAGAATCTTGCAATAAATTTGTCTGTTTTTGCAGGCCAAGTTAACACAATAAAAAGGCGGGAAGACTAAATGCAAGAAAAACTTCAAATATTTACCTTAAAATAGCTCGCACTAGTCGCCAAATCCAGCTTTTCGCATCCAAAATCGCAAGTCCTCTACTAAGTTTACAATTTTCGAATGAAAAGTACCGAGAAAGAGAACTTTTTACGGAGCAAGCGAGGGCTTCGTGTGTACTTTGCAAATATTTCGCCAAGAAAGACCCGGCCACTGAGCTGTATAAAGACCTGAAGTCTTAGCATAGGTGTCCCTGGCAATTCAAACCCACATCATGAGGTTTTCTTTTTCTTGATTAGTTGACTCAGTTTGTCTTGATTTTAAAATCAACTGTCAAAATTTAAAATGAAAGTTAATGTTAGGATACTATCAGTAATGTTTTTTGCTTTATTAATTTATGAACATATTCTGTGGTACCTAACAAACACTTATTTCTTCAGTTTAATTAATCTATGATTTGATGTTGTTGGTGATTTTGTATAAATGTTATTGAGGTCTCCAAGGGGACAATGGAAAAGACATATAAATTAATTCTTTTTCATACATGAAAATTTAACTTTCATGAGCCCTCAAGAATATTAATTCAAAAGGTCAAATTTTTTAAAATTGATTTCTGATTAAAACCTGCCTTGCAATACATATTGTGTATAATTATAGCTCTAAATTATCTGCACAGTTTAATGCTTGATTCACATGATCTGCACTGTTCAATGCATGGTTCTTTGACAGATAATATTACACAAAATAGTTTTTTCAAAAAATTGTATTTATAGCCTTATGAATATATATAGCTTCATAATCATATATAACATGTTTAAGGGTCAGTTTTGAGAGATGTATTACTTAAAATTTTGTAGCATAAAAGACCACATTTGATATGGAAGACTGCAAATCACCAAGCTTTTAAATGCCACTTAACTCTCACATATATATGTTATCCAAAAATGCACCAATCAAATGTTTATAGCACTTCTTGGTTGTGTAAATAGCTAATGTGCATTTGAGCATTACACTCAAATATTGACCACCTTTCAGACAATTATTAAAAAGAACCAGGAATGGATATTACAATGTCCCATATTACCTGGTTATTTAAGGTGATCCTGAATATAAAAATAAAGAAGATTCATTGCAAAATAATTAACAAAAAACAGGAAAATTTTTATTATTTGATTTATTATAAACTGAAATAAACAAGCATGCTTGGATTTCTTGCACATAAAGAGGTTAAAAAGTTTTATTGAATAATTCATGAATAAATCATGTTTTAAAGTACCAAAAATATAAACCTGGGGAATTCGCATTTCCATAAATATATCAAATGAGCTCTTTTATATAGTTTGTTTGAAAATTTGATTTCGAAAAAACTTCAATTAAGGCCTTCCAGGCTAGAACTACAAGACCGTAAGTTATGATATTTTTAATGCGCTGAATACCTTATATAATAATGCGCTATACGATGTATAACGATCGGTTGTCAATGCTTTACTCCAGCCGATCGACCATGTATTTCGCTATTTAATGATTGATTCTATGACATTTATCGTTATAAACTTACCAGAACTATCCGAGGCAATCTTTTCATCACGTATTCTGATGTAGTAAATGATTTCAATACAAGATTTTGTTCAATTTCAATAAAAATTATCATTAACGCGATGTGCATCACGAATCTTCACTCCTTGTTTTCAAATCTCCATTATGAATATATAATGAGAGGAATTTAACTCCAAAAATGGAGTTACTTTCTATAACCCCTCTAGATGGGATTATTTTTGCATACTAATCAACGTTCGAAGACCTCGTTACTCCACCGAGGAGTTAATATAACTCTAAAAGTGGTGTCAAAATAGCACCAAAATTTAACACCCCGAAAAATGAAATTTGGGGGTGTTAAAATAACTCCCTGAAAATAACAGTGTGTGCGTATAAATCCAAGGAGACAAAAGCCAAAGCTCATGCAAGATACTGGGCAGCAGATTAGTAATTGTACTGAGTGGGGGGATACAATAATTATAACCAGAAGTGATATTTACATGGCGTATATAGAGAATATTATATGGTTGCGCGGAAATATAGAATTTATTTCGAGTGTTGAGGAGAATATTCTCTTCAACACGAGAAATTTTAATCAATATCCTCTCAGGCATTCGAAGTCAACTATTATAGCTACATTGTTATGAATGATTTCAATATTTATAATTTTTAAACTGCAGTTAGTTAGCGCGCATTATCACTACAAAAACATAAAAAAAAACTTAGTGAGATAATTAAGATAAACTGAGGCAGTTGAATTGAGTGTGGCAGCATCTTCTGACAACTACCTAAACTACCAGCAAAATATAATTTCAGCCATTTCAAATGCAGTAAATATAATTCACCCAAAATAAGGGAAGGCCTTCGACTTCAATGATATAATTACAAATTTTTTAAGACTATTCTGATATACACAGAATATAATGTCTGACTTATTGCGCATTGCAAGTTGTAATATCCTATAAACGACTCCCTGTAAACATAGATTACAGAGGCCGGAGAAAAAACGTGAACAACGTCATTCGATCTTTCAGCACTAAAAAATTTAGCTCGATTAGTCATTAGTCAGAAAACAGTGCATGGTATTTTGAAGATGCAGGTAAGTTCTTTGGGTAAATCATGATAAAATGGCTAAAAACATAGCAATGAAGACAGTCATTAATTTGTCGTATTTGTCGCTACATGATGAATTTTTCATCACTCCGAATGTAGCTACAATAGCCTACTACGAAAATACAAAAACGTTTCGATCAACGAAAACATCAAACAAAGAACTAGCCAGCCTAACCTAGCGCGGTTTAGTCATACTAGAATTTTTATTGGAAATGTAAAATTTAACGATCTGAACGAAACCGTCGGCATGCAGGTTGAAAAGGGCAGATAATCAGTTATGAATATTCTAACAAACTGTCCTCGAATCTTGCATTGGCGGTTGCAATGACATTAAATTGTTCTTAAAAGGAATAAAGGGCATCAATATTACAAAGCAAGCATTCGTCAATTCAGTTCTGGAGTGTGCGTCTCTGTGCGTTGCTGAAGAATATTGTGAGGTGTTTCGACATAGGCACGTCAGTCCTGGTGCCATCAACTGTCAAGTAACGCAAGGAAAACTCGAAAACGTGACTCTATCTGGGACGATTGACGCCGATGAAAAGTGGGAATTGCACACCTTACAGACCATTGAATCGGTGAGAAATTATCAAAGTCAAAATTACAAATAAATATATGCTGTCAAGTTGTTCTTATATTATCGTTTAAATTTCTCTTTTCTTGACGAATCGTTTTTGCCCTTAGTTAAGCGCAAACGTTTTCCTAAAGTGAGAAACAATACAAGATTTCTAGAGTTTTAGTCGATATCTTCAATGAAATCTATGTATACCATGCAATCAAATAATCGCGTTGATAAAAAAATGGCTTGAAATTGATACATGCATGATTCAGGTATAAACAGTATATACGTATACAAGGTGTACTTCCCGCCTGTAAAAGGATATATATATATATATATATATATATATATATATATATATATATATATATATATATACTATATATATTCAATGAAAGATTATTCTATAACTGGAGCCTTATATATAAATAAAAAACATTCTAAAACAGGGGATGACTACTTATTGCTAGATTGCCATAAATCAATAATATAAAGGAAAAATGCTTGGGATAGTTTAGCACCATTTTGTGTTTAGCCAATACTGTATACAAAGTATACGTCAGCCTACATTTTTCACTAATACCATTTCCCGCAGCCAAAATGTATCAAAGACAATTCATGTCATGGTGTTGGACGATGCTTGGCCGACAGTTGTGAGCCTGAAGGGTTCAAATGCGAATGTGATGAAAACTATTATGGAAAATATTGTCAATACGAAAAACGTGAGTATTGTCAGATGAGTTCGGGAACACTGTCTGCTGCTTGTCACGTAAATAAATATAAATTTGAAATCTTTTCTCTTAGCTATAGATGACTACGACATAATCTTCAATAACACTATAGAAAAGAATTCCCTCGTACTGAGCGCGACAGACAAAGATTTCGACGAGTTTACATTTAGTGCATGGATTAAATTTAACCCAGGATACAAAGTATACCCACTCATATCGTATACCTCCCAAAACTCGACCGAAACTATTGCTCTGGCGTTCCACGCTGACGAGTCAGGCGGAGAGTCGATCAAATTCTTTTCTCTAAATCTTTTTGGTCTTAATAATGGGTGAGTATTTTAGAATAACTGAACTTAGTAGCAAGTCTTATCTTATCATAAGGCTGCTAGAAAAAAGCAATATTATGCTGAAAGGAATGCTTCAAGAATTTATTTGTTGAATAAGGACACGAGATGACGAGGCTATTAATTTTGTCGTCGCTACAGACACTACCTTCTCGCTTGTCCTACAATTACAAATATATAAAGTTTCAAATAACGGCCGGTTTATTTACAAGCTTTGCTTTATATTTTCTTCAAAATATAATAATATTTTCTTCAAAATATAAAATAAGCATATTCATCACAGATCACAGCCGGTCGAGGGGGAAGAAAATAAGAAAATTAAAACGGCTCACACGTCATGTAAAGATTATATAACCAACGTAAACATAAGCATTGTTATGCGCAGAATATATGCGCAGAACGGACTTTACATCTTTAAATAAAGTAATAAAACAATTATCAAATTTGGTTTTCACATGATATGAAGAATTATCAAGCCTTCGGCTTCGGTTGATAACCACAAACTTCGGCTTGATAATTCTTCATATCATGTTCAACTTCATTTAATAATTGGTAATTATCCAATGTCACCTCTATATCTCAAATATAGGACGTAGGCCCTTGTATCACACTATTCAAAGCCGACAAAGCGTGCACGGATTCGTTCACATTCTGTAGGCACGAAGCTCTCAGAAAACCAGACAACAATTTCCAAAAATATAGTACCAGACATATTTAGAAGGTTAACATCTTGAAAGCCAGGACTACTTTTTCAACACTGAATTTGTGGACGAGTTTACTTTGGATCAAAATACTATTCTTTAAATTCCTTGGTCGATGAATACTTAACCCAGTATATAGATCGCACATTCATTACTGTAATATTTTTCGACTATTTCCGACAGAACTGCTACCATACCCATAAATGACGGTTACTGGCACCATGTTGGTTTTTCATTTTGTGGGGGAACAGGCCGGTGGATGCTCTTGATCGATGGCATTCTTTGGGCGATCAAAGAGGGTATAACAGGAAGAAAATTTCAATCCGGTGGGACATTCAACATTGGAAAAATTACAGACAAAAGAGTAAGCTACACTTTAGGAGGAAGTTTGAGTCGAGTGAACTTATGGAGCAAGGCTAAAAGCGGCAGCGATATCGAGTTGATGGCAAAAAATCCCGGGTCTGAAGAAGGTGATTTGATCGCTTGGCATATGCTAAAAGGCTATGTATCTCATTCAAGGTTCATTCGTCCATCAAATGCGTCGTTTTCAGGTAGGACAATATACCTTGTTTACAATTGCGTTCGTTCCGTTAGACTCAACAGATAATATTAAATACAGTCCTTTGTGCCTATAAAGTAGCGTTTAGACTAGTTAAAAAGTAAAACACTATTACGGCACTGCACATTCGCATAATCAACCATCGAGAGCTACCAGGGATAGCCGAGCTAAGCACTAACATCATCTACAAATCTCTACAGGAAAAGGAATGAATTATGAAATAACGTTGCCGCTATCAAGCCAAGTAAAAATTCCGGGGCCTTCTAAACCGATGAAATTTTTATCCAGTTGTTTGTGGATTAAACATGGTGGAAAAGGGGACACTCAATTCTTCGCCTACGATACGACAAATACATTCAACTTTCGCTACAGTTTGGGAAAGAAATTGGCTTTCACTCTTAATCACCTATCTGCAGAAACGTGAGTATATGATAAAAAGTACGTGCATTGCCTGAACAAGCCTAATAGAGTCGATGATATATAGGCAAATTGACGGGTCTGGAAGCAATTTAACTGTCATTTCGTAAACCTTTTTGTTAAACGTTTCATAAACTTTGTGCAAAGTAAAACGGGAAGAAACAAGATGTATGAAGCACAAAAGATAGCAAAGATGAACAGGGATACAATCAAGACAAAGCCGTGCAAGAGAAATAATTCATAATCTGCAAGCTTATAAGTGTTTTCAAAGAGTACGTGTTTACTTTGTTTCTTTCGTATTTGCTTCGCAGTAAGGATGAGCTGTATTTGTATAATCTCCAGAGGCTTTGTATGCTGTTTATTTGTTTAATTTTCAGCTTTGTATAATTTTCAGCTTTTTATGCAAACGCATAAACCTGTGAAAGGCTATTATACCTTTGGTTTAACTTTAAAAAGTGTTTTTGAAAGTGTAATTTGAATTTTGATATAAAAAATACACACTATGAAGTATAAAACGTTTAGCCGTCGACTGCATTACAGAATAAAATAACATTTGAGATTTTCTCTTTGTCTCTGAAGTTTTTGTACTATTTTAATCGTTTGAAACTTTGATTTTAAATCATTACTTAATTAATTGCTGCCGTTATATAATACAGCGAAATTGAAGGGGCAATGTATACACTAGCTTTATGATTATTTTTGTGTTCAATGATGGGAACATTAGCTATAATATACTCGGTAAAATATAATAAGACTGGTTTGAGTTTTGTGTCATTCATAATATAAGTTTAGGTCAGGTTTGCTCAGGAAATTGTGTATTTGGTGTGAAATAGCGAGGGGTTGCTGCATGCATGTATTTTTAGTAGAATATGATTGATTGAATTGATTGATTGATTGATTGATTGATTGATTGATTGATTGATTGATTGATTGATTGATTGATTGATTGATTGATTGATTGATTGATTGATTGATTGATTGATTGATTGATTGATTGATTGATTGATTGATTGATTGATTGATTGATTGATTGATTGATTGATTGATTGATTGATTGATTGATTGATTGATTGATTGAAATAGAGAATTTTATCAAATTCAAAAACTTCAAAAATGACTTTTTTATTGTAAATGTTCAGTTCGGAGTTTACGTTATCCTCGTTTGGGTGAATATTCCACCTCTCGTCAATAAAACTCTTTGACTCTTCATAAAAAAGCGCTCACTTTATCAGCATTCTAATTTTCCTTAGATCTGTGACGTGTAACAAATGGCATTTTCTTTGCATAAAATGGAGTGGAAAGGAAGGTACGGTGCGTTTATTTTATGACGGATACCAAAAAGGTAATAGTTTTACAAAGGCGCAGTTTGCGACGGAATTACCTGCGGGAAGAAATTTTATCCTCGGGTCCAGCGACAATAGCGCGATCCTTACACAATTCAACGTCTGGGACTATGAAATAACGACTGAGAGTATTTACCCCATGTCTGCGGGAGGCTTTAACGTACACGGGAGTGTGTTGTCATGGAGTAGCTTGGCAAAATATGTAACCAAGAACATCGCATTCAATACCGACGTATATTTACCGGGTAAGAAACGATACAGAATGATATCGTAAGCAATAAACGTACTTTTATATATTTTTTATCAAACATATCTAATCTAACATGTGAACGTTTTCAAAAAACCTGGGTAGGAAACAGCGTTGACCGATTATGATCTCCTCAAGAATTTATTCTTTTCTTCAAGGTTTTACGGTCTTGCACAAGAGAACAAAATGGTGCAATGATAAATATCCTACATCACCCTGCCCAGGCAAATTTTTGGCAAGATTTGGAGGACAAAAGGATCGTAAAGCCATGCAGTGGCGCTGTTATTGTCCTTGGTCCCTCACAGAAGCCAAATTCACATTCAACTTTTCTGCATTAAACGCAAGACTTTATAGTAAACACGTCGAGCTTATCGCTATCAACGAGTGACCCATTTTTTTAAATAATTAACGTCATTAGCGTAGTAATATGCTGCTTTTGACAACAAAGATTATGTTATATCGCACAGATTCAACTCCTTTGACAGGATGTTGAACTAGATCATAAGGTATTATAGCCATTGGGTCTTTGCACGTGATGCCACAGTACGCAATTCAAGTAGAAATAATAAAAAGGACCCAGAAATAAGGATATTCCCATATCAGGGTATGATAGTCTAGTCACACTCACTATCAAAGTTTCTCTTGCACATCTAGATATATGCAAATAAATACAAACTCTTTTTACGTAATCCCATTGTATATATAGACTCATAGCTAATTTTAAGATTTTTTTATCACTGGACATATCATCACAATAGTATAGTAGAGGGGGATATGCTAAAAACGATCCTAACTGGAAATTGGTAATTTAAAGATGGGGGAGTTTTAGGGGATTTGGAGGACCTCACGCAGAAATTTTTTGGGTATTTTCGAGTCTCTGTGACTTCATTTCCAGCATTTTGGGGGACAATTACTGATGAATCTATATAAGCAGAGTGAGGTCGCTTGAGAAAATAGCATTTATCACTGCACATTTCTCATTTTATCACTGTACATTCTACTTTTATCACTACTGCACAAATTGGTTATCACTGCACACTAAAATTAGGTATATGTTGTATACGTTTCAAAAAGGTCAATAAAACGGTTTTTCCGAATTTTTTGGTCAATTCCAGAAATGTTGGAGGGTTACCCAACCCCATACCCCCTTCTCTCTGTATCCCACGATAAAGTATGGTAGTAACACCGTACCTTGTATTGTGTTCTATAGAGTTCTGCGCTAACTCGCACAAGGTCCAGCCGTTTGAAGCGGATGCTAGTTTTCTAAACAAACTATACAAAATATGTTTTCCCTTTTGCGATATATGTTCATTTGCATATATTCTAATTTGCATTTAACTTTCAACAATTATGGCCTGTAACTTTTTCTATAAAGTACATATAGCAAAAGCACAACACCTAAAATTGCCGTTGCCCTGGATGTTGACCTCTGAATCAATAGAAAAGCCTTTTCGCAAAGGTTTTGATGTTCGAATTACTTACCTTGGGTGTTTCTACGTTTCGCCAACTGACTGTGTTCAAATGTGTATATACGATTCGTATGGTTGAACTGCTGCTTTATGAGACTGATAAGATTTTTTAAAGTGACTGCAAAAAAAATCCGGACCGTATAGAAAAATTTATATCAAGAATACGAAAGGAAATATCTAAATTGGTAACAAAATGTCTTGGTATATATTACACGTTAATTCATCAACAATCTGAATCGAAATGTTCGTATGAATGTGAGCGATTTTATAAGTTCGTTGAGAGAGCACGGCCAAAATTTTGAGCAATTTATTTTGAGCAAGGTAAGATTCAGTTACCAAGAGGTCGGCAACCAGTGTGTCAAGTCTGTGGCTCTAACATTACGACGTTTTATATTAATATTTTTCACTTAATTTATTTCATAGTAAAATTCGAAGGCCATTATGAATGATTAAGTACAAATTAGCGCTCAAGCGACAGCCATTTTGTGTTCAATTAAGACCATCTAACGAGATCAGTTCCTCTTGACTGCCTGTATTTAAAACGAAAGAGAACGCAAAAGTGCGACATTTTGCAATGAACGGAAATAATATAACTAAAAACACAGAGTTTGTATGGGAAATAATAGGCGGGTGATATAAGCGACATTAATGGATACATTACCTCGTACATTAGTCTGTGGTAAACCTCAAAGAATACAAATCTATAGCCATGGAACATCCATTGTATACTTTGTCAATAAACGCCGGAGACTGCATATATAAAAGTATTCTGATAGCAGTGGAAAAGCTTATTTGCAAGATATTGGGAACCTTAAGATACACGAAATCTACGACGCGGACGTGAAGTAATACTGTCTTCATCAGTTCCACAGTTTCACAACAGGAATAAAAATTATCGACTAAAGATATGGCTTTGCCCAGAGAATAAAGAACGTAGCACGAATTATTTGTTGAATTTTTGTGTTTTACAGTACAAAATCATTCATATACAAGGAAAATTGCAAATGTAAAATAAAAATTGAAAAATGTAAAAATTGAAGAAAATGAGGCGAAAAGATAATAGAAAAATTTCACCATTAGCATTTTATTTATTTCATCCCAATGCTGTTTTCGTATAAACTGGTCCCAATTATTTATTTGACGAGGGTGCATGTTTGAACCCATCGCTTCACAAAGCCAGGTTTGATTAACGGCGCACATGCAGAATGCTCTCAGGACCTATGAATTGTCAAGTGAGATTTTCAAAATTTTCCAATAATTTCTATTATTGTTTCTTATATTTAAGAAAAATTACTTCCGTTAATATCCAGTGATTGTCGTATGTTTTATGTAACTGTTATATTTACTTTTTCTTTCCATTCATATCCGCGCGACTTTCTTGATACGACTTGAAGTAAAAATTTGAAAAAAGTAGAATAAAAGAGAAGATATACGCTGAGAACACCCACAGCAAGAATGTCGGATAAACACAGTTTGTCTGAATGGCGTACTGAGTTTGCACGATGATACAAACAAATTGGATCTGCAAGAAGACAAACAAAATATGTATACATGGTGTAGCAAAAAAAGGTAATCAGACTTCAACACGCTGACGTGAACTACTCAGTCGACAAACAAATTTTTTTGCACATTCGGGAGATCATGCAGGCTTTTAAGTTAAGGGTGAATATTTCAAAATTTATTTTAGGCCGGATTCACAAAAGCTCCCAAGAATCGGAGATCCATTGCGCTCTAGTGGATTCAACAAAAAGAATTCCAGATTCTTAAGATAAACGTGAACCAGGCTTAACAATTATTATAACTATTAAAAAGTGCAAGAAACACAAAAGTTTCGTAGTATCTCTCAAAAGAAGAATTTTATTGCAAAGTTGCATGAATTACACCACGTAACGTCGCTTTAACTTTATATGTGAATTAACAAGGAATAAAAAGTTTTCTTACCAACTGTAATTGTGTCAAATACTTCTTCCACCAAAGGTACTTTTTAAGTAACGGTACAGCTGACATAGCGTAATATACGTACATGATAATATGAACAAATGAGTTCGCCATACAGCTGAAAAATGCTAAAAATACAGAAATAAATATATCGTCATGCTTTATGTTATAAAAGATAGCAAAACAGAACGGTGGTTGTAAAGTTATGTCGAATTATCAACCTTTTTATTCGCGTTAGATTCGGAAACGGCCGGCTACTCCGGCAACGGTCGGAACTCATGTAGTCGTTGCCATGGGAACAAGAAGACACGTTTGAACGACGTTTTTTTTTGGAAAGACATTTTTGAAGACTTTCTCAGTTCTAAGTTTTAATCTCACCTCTAATTTTTGTGGGATACTAAACACTATATGCTAGCATAGACGTAAGTAAAACGTTTTAGCTGCTCAGTTCGTTTGTAAACCTTCCTTTTTACATTCTTGTAATGTTTAACTGTAAGTTTGAAATATGTTATCTGTATTGAATTTTCATAGTTTCACCGCATTATCTGTCGCTACTTTGGTGATTAAATATATTTATACCAACGTGTCTGATAGTGTGGTTGATCACATGCGAACTCTGACTTGTCTTCTATCGAAAATCAAGTTGGGAACGCGACAGTGGTTATTAATTTGAACTTCAGGAAGAACATTGATTTTAGCATGTTTGACGAGGGACATACTGGCAGAGGAGCGGAAAATTGTACATGGCATCACACAAAATTTTCAACACTTTCAATTGTTGTTTCCACAGTTACAAAGATATGACACGACAAAGGAAAAGCTTTTTTGCTTATTTTAGGTTCGCGACACGGCTCTCGTATTGACAGATAATTAGCTGAGAATTTCAAACGAAAACACGAAGAATTTAGTGGGAAAATTTCCCAAAGATTGAAAACGTGCATTTGAGAACAAATTAAATAAAAAAATAATAAAATAAAAAATAAATTATGTAAAACAAAAGAACACAATGATATCGATAATTTGTAAATGGTTTAAGCGTCCTAATTTCGAGTGGAAATCATACATAACCCAAATTCAAGCGAGGAACAGTGGACAAAAAAGTGTTAAATATCGGACCTCCGCGAGGAATCGAACCTGCGCCTATGTGAGGCCGGCGCAATGCATCTGCCTTTCCACTCCATGCATGATACTTACATTGTCCACCACCAAACCACTTTATTCCAATCCATGTGACAATAACCATAGTTGCATGATGGTACACATGAAGAAATGAAACCTGATTAACCTTCTTGCGTAAAACAAAAAATACCTGCAAAATTTAAAGATCTGGATGATTATTCTAAAAAGGAATGATTATTCTAAAAATTTTTTTTCTCATTTGAAGTCACGTGGGCAGCCTTCTCCTTCTCCCTACGAGAAGGCCCTGGGTACGAGATTGGAGGTAGCCTTCCAGTAATCACCTAAGTGGATTTTTCAAAATGGACGAGTTATTTTTGTCAAAATGACAGATGAAGAAGTAAGTTACTTTAACGAAAATACTGTACCTGAAAGCACGAAAGAAGTTAAAAAATCAGGAGTTTAGTTGAAAAAAAATTAAAAAACTACTTTGTAGAACGCTTTTTAACTTTATTTTGCGAAAATATTGTTTTATATGAATTACCGTGAAACTGTCAAGATGTTTGTTTTCGTTTTCGGCAATTTGTCAACATGCCACATGGTGTTTTATAATATAACATTTATACAATACGCGCGTGCTGATTGGTCAAGAAGCGTTTTTAAATAACTGCAGCACGGGAATTTTTCCCACGAACTTGACAAGCGAAGGGATGTAATGAGAATTTGTAATTGAATCGAATTATAATATTTGTACAAAATCTTTTTATTATTGAGTTATAATATAAAAGAAATAGAAAACATTTTTTCTTATGGGAGTTTGTGTAACAGTGCACCTATTGTGATGAGATAATGTGACAGTGCACTATTGTAATTAGATAAAGTAACAGTGCACTATTGTAATTAGAAATATGAGAGTCTTGAGCACATGTATATAGGGAGCACGAGGATGAAATAAAAGACACTTAGAAACTGGATCGAACGTGTGTGTGTCTCAGACAGCTCGGCCCGTTACAATTTGGTGGCAGCGGTGCGATTTAAAGAACGGTTTATAGAGATGTCTACAGCAATTCTTCCCTCGAAGTTTGAGCGGGGAGATTTAACAATTTGGCTGCGCGAATTTGATGCTTGCGCTGAGGCAAATGGGTGGAACGCAGATGCGAAAATCAAGAAATTCCCAGCTTTTCTCCGGGGCGAAGCAGCGAGCCATTTTTACGCACTGGACGAGGAAGCTCGTGAAACATATGACGCTGTTACGAAAGCCCTAAAAGAGACCATGTGTCCTGCGGCGTGTAAAGAAGTGTACTTCGCCGAGTTCGAAGCGAGACTTTTAAAGCCAGGCGAGGACCCGACGGTGTACAAGTGGGAGTTGGAGCAAATTTTATCGAAAGCTCAACCAGATATTGATGCCGGAGCGAAAACCGCGTTGTTAACGAGGCAATTCATTACGGCACCCAACACTTTCGTCTATACCTCTTAGGGCGCAAATTCAGAATAATTACTGATCATAATGCACTTCGTTGGCTAAATTCCATCGAGCCGAAAGGGCGTTTAGCCAGATGGCTAATGGATTTGCAAGAGTTCGAATTTGTGGTTCAACATCGACCGGGTAAATCGCATTTGAATGCAGATGTCTTATCACGCCTAGTAGCTAAGAAATGCGAGGAAACATGTCAAACTTCCGCTATCCACACGATTCCTTCAATGCTAACTGAATGGAAAGCGACGGCAAAGCGTCTCATAACAGCGCCTGTTATCTATGTGCTTGGGCTCCTTTTCATGCTTTGGGCTAGTTGTGCACGCGCTATCGATTTTATCACATTGCCGCAAAAATGCACTACAAACAAATTACTCAACCCACACGCGCGCGCTTTCCAACCGCAAACACAAGCAACTGAGAATACACCTGTCTTTAGGCATGAAAAAATTAACTCAATTACTGTAAGCCCAACTATAAACCTACATGAAGCACAACGGCAGGACAGCAATATCTCGAAAGTTTGGAATTTAAGATGCACAAGAAACCACGCCCAGATTTCAAGGAGTGGAGCATTGACCCAGTTCTGAAAAATTTTTGGCATAATTACGATCGCTTATTTATACATAATGGTTTACTAGTACGATCTCGCCACAACCAGTACACATATCCTGATCACGCCATTGTGATTCCACAATCCATAGTGCCTAAGATACTCGACGGTATGCATGATAGTCCGTCGTGCGGTCATCTCGGCTCAGCACGAACCGAACAGCGTATTCGCGAAAGATTTTATTGGGCAAATCTGCGTGCCTCTGTGCAAGCCCATATCCAACATTGCGTATCTTGCCAGCGCCGCAAATCACCTTCGAATCCAGATAAAGCGCCTATGAAAACGATCAGTGTTAGTGAGCCTTTTACATTTTGGGCATTAGATTACATGGGCCCCATATCGGAGACCGCGAGGGGGAATAAATATATACTCGTTATCATGGACCATTTTACCAAATGGTGCGAGGCGTTCCCTACGAAAGATCAAAAGGCCTCAACCGTGGCCGACTGTTTAATATCCAAAGTATTCTCGCGTTTTGGACCGCCGCTCGTGCTGCACTCAGACCAAGGGTCAAACTTTGAAAGTATCTTAATGCACGAAATTTGTAACATTATGGGGATAACGAAAACACGAACCACAGCATACCACCCTTCCGGGGATGACCAAGTGGAGCGACAGAATCGCACGCTACAAGATATGCTTGCGCATTATGTGTCTAACAATGCTGACGATTGGGATGTTTGGCTAGATCCCGTTCTCTTTGCCTATAATACAAGCAAACATGAATCTACTGGGCTCTCCCCGTACGAACTCGTATTCGGAAAAACACCTCGCATGCCTCTGGAATTAGAATTCGGTGTAACGACTGGGAATCCAAGCACTCAACCAGAGTACGCACAGAAAGTCCGCAATAACCTTAAGAATGTTAGGCAGCTAGCTAGAGAGCACTTAGATAAGGTAAGGTCAACCAGGTGTTCAAATCACGACAATAAGAACTGGAAGCCGCATGCAGTAGGTCAGACCGTTTGGGTGAAACGCCCAAAGAAAGGTAAGTTCGGTAGGAAGTGGATAGGGCCGTATAAGGTAGTGAAGAGAATGGGGACGACCTATCGAGTTAGCTCGAATGATGGAAAAGTTATGGTAGTTCACCACGACAACCTTAAGACAGGCTATATACCACTGGATAGCGGCCGAATCGTTGCTCCTGGTCGTGAGTCGGGTGATTTCGCAGTGGTTCACGCATTGCCCGAGCACCCCGTGTTACAACCACCTCCCCGTAGGCCTAGAGGTGACCCCCAACGTTATCAACTTCGGCAAAACATACGTCCTCCCGAACGTTATGCTTACGATTAGCTAAATCGTCGACTATGTAAAAATATGTTGTTTTCGGGGACGAAAACTTAAGTGAGGGGAAAATGTAACAGTGCACCTATTGTGATGAGATAATGTGACAGTGCACTATTGTAATTAGATAAAGTAACAGTGCACTATTGTAATTAGAAATATGAGAGTCTTGAGCACATGTATATAGGGAGCACGAGGATGAAATAAAAGACACTTAGAAACTGGATCGAACGTGTGTGTGTCTCAGACAGCTCGGCCCGTTACATTTGGGAGAACTCGAAATAACGTGAAATCGTGAATCACGCGTGTTTCTATAACTGTATAGAGACACAGAAAATATTTTCTATTTCTTAAATAATGTATAATTATACATCATGCATATTTGGGCTGCCTATGATTTTATTCAGCGATATTCACCTCGCCTTCCCCTTCAGCGAATAATTGTTTAATATTTTAACTAAGTTGACGAGTCCTTGACATACTGATATCGTTCTAAATATTGTAGGTTACTAGGTTTCTGTCTTCTATTTCAGGGGCCGGTTGTTCAACGTTAGGTTAGCGCTTATTAACTGTGGGTTAAATTTTAATCCAGTGTTTTAGTTTATGTGCTTCCGAACTATCGTTCGTTTTAAAACTTTAGAAAATATTACTTTTATCGGTTTAGAAAATATTTATGAAAAACGATATTCAACTTTGTAAGGAAGCGATTAATGTAAAGATTTGCTTTAAACTAACCGGCTTTTGAACAACCGGTCCCAAGGGGTTAGTTTTTCTCCTGTACCCTCTTACTACGATTAAGTGGCCATAACATACCGTGTCTGCCATCTCTATGATTTTGGAGATAAAGTAATACCACATAGCGGATGTCAGCTGAAATGAAACGTGCACTGAGTGAAGTATTTGAACAGATACAACTCGGTCGATACTGATCTCGGTAACAAAAGGACAATAACGGATAATTATAAAATTATAATATAATTATTATTCAATGAAGAGGTTTATAGCGCCATAATTTCGGTGGTATTATACACACTTCAAATTCAGGCCAGGAACAGTTGATGGAATAACGAGTCAACTACAGGTCCTCCGGCGGGAATCAAACCTTCGCTTTTGCGATGCAGGTGCAATGCTCTTACCACTGAGCTACAGAGGTAGTTGACAAGAGCAAGCGTGGTTAATGTGTATAGGATGCATGCTAATGCCGGGAATAGGTGAGGGTAAATCAGTTGTGATTTTTGGAACTTCACTCGATGCATTGACTCGTTTCTTCATCAACTGTTCCTGGCTTGAATTTGAAGTGTGAATAATTAAACTCGAAATTAAGACCCTTTAAACCTCTAGAATTTACCTGCATCAAGTCAAGTGCCAAAAATCATAACTGATTTACCCTCAATTATTTGAATACTGATAATTAACTCATAAAATTCCCTTACACAAACATACAGGGTTTTTTACTGTACCACAAGATGGAAGGATAATATTTTCATGATATATCAATTGACCAATGCACGCAGACAATTTATATAGCTGTTGCCAATAGACAGTGTAAATAAAATGACAATAGTTGCAGGTACGAAGAAGTTGATTATGGCTAGAATTGAGTTGTCGCAAGTTGAGAGTTGGCGCGTAAGCTGCCTCCTAAGGGGAGGATGATTCTTTCACTCCTTTGATCGAATATGCAATACGTCATGTAACAACCACGAAATGACTATATGTCAACACTTTCGTACAAGCAACAGCTGTCAAACGACAAGCACTAACAGTCTATAACTGAAAAGACTTGTAAAAACCCGATGTCATTGTCAACCACACACCATGCAGTAGCTCACCCTTAATTCCATTGGGTCATCTGAAAACACTAAATTTTGACACGAATAACTGTAACTCAGTGCCGTGGTAGATATCAGGATCTGAAATTAAATTAAACATGTACATCTAAAAACCTACAGCGGGAAATATAAACCATGATTGCCGGTTTTTTTGACATTTGGTTCATTTTTACTAAATAGTTATTTACTGTCACTTGGGTGCGTTCTTTTTGTGCAATCGGGAGTTGGATCTTCAAATCTGATTATCGATTTTCAGTTCTATTTAACAAATTCTTAAATAGAATCGAATCTGATGAATTCATCTCTCAACGTATGGATTTTTCGGATTCAATCTTAATCTTGATTCGATTTTTAACGTTCCTTTTTGAACCCACCGCAAGGCTGAGGGCTGCACAGTGCAAAGATGACCTGCATGGTACCGTTAAATTGATCGGAAACAGTACGCAATACTTCAGGATTGCCTAAAACCTAAAAGAGAACTTCAGCACAGCCTCGGAGAGACGAAAATGTGAACGGAACCCAATATCTGAATACGTTGAAACATATAACTCTGCAAATTCACGGATACGAGCTGCTTTGTGTCTTTCTAAGATCAAGGTCAGTTTTTCAACGATAGATAACATTATTTCTTTATTACATAACATTTGCCTTGAAACGAAATCATCTACAATGCCGTCATTCAATGCAGCGAAAAATAATAAAGGAAATCTACGAGCATGAGCTGTTCTGAATAAATACTGGGCCGCCGAATGAACAATCAGCGCGGTAGAAACAGTACATCCGATTTTCCAGATTCAAATTTATACAACATTTTGTTCCATTTATGTAACAAAAAGCTGAACCCAAAAAATCCAAATCCGAATTGCACAAAAGAAACGCAGCCTTGATGTTACCTAATTCAGCGATGTACCTCAACAAATATGTGAACATTCAACAGCGCGGTTGCTATGTTATATATCATCATAAGACCTTTAAATTCCAGGGCCTGTTTGTGTTTCATGATGTTCGGCCCAATGTAAACAAATAGTAAGTAACAGAAGATTGCAACAAAGGAAGGAACAGCGGAATTGACAAACGCCCATGTTTGTGTTCGGGGATCTAGGATAGAGCGAGAAATATGGTGCAAAAGTATTATATAGTCGTATAAAAGTAGTATATTATAAAGTATATTATATTGTAAAAGTATATTTACCCACTTGTGGTTTTTGAAATTGGTATTGTAACAGGGAAATGGAATTATTTCTGTAATTCTATCATTTTTATAAAGAAACGTGTTTTTTCAACCAATTGTAAATTAGAATTTAATTATAAGGATATAATTAGTAAATTAGGAGAACGGGCACAATTAAACGGGCACTGGACGCCAGGAACATAATAATACAGTGTTGTCGAGGCCCTCATGGCGTCATTACTTAGGATTCGCAAGCTTGTAATAGATCATTAGCTTACATATATTCAAATCTTATAAAATTATTACTTATGATTATTACTAAGATGTCTTCAGTTAAAGACGAAACGTAATTGAAGTAACCAAATTCATGATTTTAGCCCAAAAAAAGGCGGCATGCTTTTTTTATCCAGGCTGAAATGTTTAAACCACTTTCCTTGTTAAAAGTACTATATCGTGGCCAAAAAGTTGTCACAACAACAAAATGTGTTAAGTTTTAACCAGGAAAGGAGGTCAATTTAACTCGCATGTAATTTAACAATCAACCAGGTTCTGGTAAAATTTAACCTGAGTGGTTAAGGGCGAAGAACAGGGGATTTGGGGATTTTCTCCACTTTCCAAAAACAGATCTTTGAGTGTTTTGTTGGATGCAAAAGTATTCACAATTAAGGGCGATCGATTGCCGAGATTTTGATTCTATTTGAATAATTTCTCAAATAACCTCTCAAGTCACATGGCACGTCACGAAAACATATTTTTCTAAGGTAGAATGAAACCAAAGCAATTGAAGATACCTGCATAAACGTCCAAATCATCGTAAAGGTGCTTCACAGCGTGGAGAACCATCTTTTTTCTGATAAAAAAAAGGATTTGATTTCGTACAGGGTCATAATTTGAGATTGACGTTAACGAGAAGCGGCAAACTTTATATCACATTTAAAAGTAAACCTTACAGGTTTTTGACAGCTTAGTCTACATTTCATGCTTCAATTTTCATGGTCAAGATTTGCCAATATCGAGATTGCTGGTTCAGTGTTAGATGAGGAATGCGAATTTTAGTTTGCCGTTTGCTGTTCGCCGTAAACGTCTTCTGAATTTAATCCGTTCTTGGACATGCCATGCTTGTTGAATCGCGCGTGGAGGTATTTTACCAGCAGGGGCTAGGAGGTCAAAGATATCCTTTCATTTTAAAGGATTGCATCACTCAGCATCAGTTTTATATCTTAGGTAGTGCTACCAACGACGGATAAGATCAAAATGGAAAACAAAATTATATATATTTTGAACAACTGTGTTGAAATGTTTCCATGTAAATTGTAATTTTTAATGGAAGTATGTATTTAATGCATAAGTTGTAGGTTCACTAGAGTTCCTTCCACGAAAATCTTGTATTTCCTAAATTGACCCTTACCTTGGTGCACCTTGCGTAATCCGTGCAAGAGCCGCAGCACCATGCATTTGGAACGTGGGAGGAGAAGGTTCATGCGACGACCGTGTCAGTTAGGTAGTTTTTATTCAATTTGCACACTTTATTAATTAAAAAATTGTTTTAAATAACGTTTCGCGTCAATGATCACTCTTTTAACACCGTACGCAGACGACCGCCTTTCGATTATTGAAATGTGGAAAGGTCCAATTCAGGCGTTAACTGACTTCATGTCCACTGACAATAACTGACCATGAAAACCAAAATATATTAAAATTTTCCGAAATGTAAATACACATGCGAGCAGAAATTAAATAAGTTTCGATTGGAGTGAAATAAATCTTTGGCATTTCCAGATTAACCCATCACACTTACGTATCTTGTGAGCCGAAACATATGCAACGGGTATTTTATTTACGTGCATGCGAAGTCAATATTTATTCCAAACCATTTTTTTTTAGATGACAATGGCATCGCTTGATATTAACATCGATTGGACTTTAGAGTACCGAGTAAACTTTGGCCGTAAATTAAGCGATCCAAGACTAAACAAATGATTGCGACATCCACAATCACACTACGAAGTATCCAATTACATGCATGAAATACGCTCCCTTCAAAGACATGCATAAAATTCGATACTTGTATTACACAATACAATAAAATAGTTTTTTTTAACTAATTATACTGGTCTTATACGCTTAATACTATTGAAGACCACGTTCTCAAACATCTTATAGTACTACTCAGAAGCGTCTGCCCGGGAATTTGTGATTCAGTTACCGGGTAATTGCAATGCATTGATACTACATGTAGTCTATACAAAACGATCAAGTGCCATGCATATATTTATATATATTTGACCTCAATTCTGCTTACCTCGGAAAGAATATATCTCATCAACCATACAACGAGTAAAATTCAGTTGCAAAAATCCTTGCAAAATAAATGCAAAAGTGCACTGAATGTAGTATTCTGATTCTGATCTGATCGACAATCAGGGTGATAGTTTACTAAATGTTGATTCATGTGTAATGCTAAATATGGCCGCGTGTGCCTAGTGGGAGTGTCGAGGGCTTGGAATCGAGTGTCGAGGGCATGAAGGTTAGTGTCGAGTGTAACAATTTGCGCTTTGTCCAAATATTCCTCAGTCGCATGACAAATCCTCAGTTGCAATTTGTCACAACGCGATATCATTTTTTTACTATTACCATTTCAAAATATTTTAAACTATATATAGTTTTACAGCGACAGTAATTTTTAAACGGAGGGGGAAGAATAGGGGGTCAAAAATGTTTTGGGAGACAGATCTTATTAAAAGTGAAGCGAACATCGCATAAACTATAAACTACTTATTATTTAATATTGTTACTGAAAACCACTTTTAATGTGAAATAGACTTTCTCTTAAAAGACTAACAAGATCTGGGGGCAAACTGGGAGCGCAGATTTTCGGACTCCCATGGTTTTTTGGTTTATCGGTGGACAGGTGTTAATCTGACTTTAAACATTAAGATATCCCTTCCCCGCCCTCACCTCATTGACGACGTTGATCCAATAAATCATAGGGGTTTTGACTATTCGACAAGTTTGTAGTTCACAGCAGATATGAATATATCACATTTGCCGTGCAGATGAGAAACGCGTGGAGCTATAGGGACTTCACAGTATCTTATAATTGGTTGAAGTATATATAGTATTATACATGCGTTATAAAATGCGTATGAAAAATGCAATATGTAGAAATATAATAATTTATAGAAATTGTTCTGTGTCAATCATGACGTCTCCACCAAACTGAGTTATCATAAGCTTCATGGAGTCATTTGGCTCCGTTCTTCCTACTGATATTCCCACTGATAGTAGTATAAAGGGCGCGAGTTTCAAATTATGATTTAAAATTGACTGCATGAAAACTGACAAACGCGCTTTTGTATTGAAAAAAATGGAATTATCCAAACCTTTATCTAGTACGGAAAACATATGTAATAAAGCCGAAAATGATAATTCAGCTTTGTCGAGGATCTGGCTTCTGATTGGTTGATCAGTTACTCAGACCAAGCTGAAATTCGTCACCACCTAAATGCATGACAATTTTTTCTTTTATTCTGGTTGCCCTAACAGTTTTTAATTTTTCTTTCAACTGCGCTGTGACGTGGCTATTTTCAGGATTCATGACCTTTGTTATTGTTCTTGCGGTATTTCTTTTTATTTAGGATTTTTCTAAGAACTCGTGCAGCTCTTTTAACCGAGTCCTTTTTCTTTTCAGGAGACTTTTCTATATCGCTCTTTTTAGCTCTACCATATATTCTGTCTTTCCACGCTTCGGCGACTTGTAATTGTGTGTCCGCTCTTCTTTGAGCATCGAATTTCGCAACTTCAATGATTGTCATCACTCTCTCTAGACGGTTAATTAGATCCACCGTTTCCTTTGCTTTATTTTCAAGTTCTTCATCTCGCAAAAGTTTGTCTTCCGTTTGCACTTTCTTATTTCCCTCAGCCTCTTCGTCTTCCTTTTTATCCTTCATGACAGCATTCTCATACTGAACTGTTTGGCGCAGAGAAACCTGTTTCACATCATCAATAAGGCTTTCAATCGTTTTCTCATCCAATCCGATAGCTTTTTCGATGTTTTCTACTGCAATGGATGACCTACGAGTTTCATAATCCTTTTCTTTCGCAAGTCTGACGTCTGGTGTATCGTCTGCAAATTGGAGTTAAATTTTTGTTAAAACTGAGGAAACGAAATATTTCAGGCAAAAATCATCTGCAAACGAACAGATCCGTCGCAGGAGCCTCATTGGGGGTGTATTTGTATACTATATATTCGTGTTCAAATTAGCAAGAAAACCCCTCCGATAAATGCAGTCTTATACAAGAGACTTGTTTTTCCTTTATTTTGAAAGATAAGAATCTTTTTGGCATCTCGCTACGGCTCTGGGTACGAAACAGTAAATATTAGGTCAACTAGGGTCCAATAGGTCAATTTGCAACATTTTGAATGAAAATTGTAGGAAATATAACTACCATTAATTGAAAGATTGCGTCTAGAAACTATTTCGTTTTCTATAGGGAAAATGTAGTCGAACAATGCCGCTAATTTGGGTCTGAATTTTACTGATAGTTCACCTTTCTCTTCTGGTAGAGAAAATTGGTACTTTGTACCCAAAATGGGTGGTTTCAACTGGCTCCAATACATGTGCGTTATCTTGATTTATTTTATAATATGCAGTGTTTTATTGGCAAATCCGCCATTGTGAAAAGCGATAATTACATGATAATAATGTGCGATTATTCGTGAAAATAAAAATAACACTGCGATTATCGTGTTTCATCCACCAATCCGGAAGCAGGCATAAATAAGATATCTTGAATCTCCCGGTTGTGCTTAGTATTTTTTCTTATATATATAAAAAACATGGATGCTTGGAAATATTATATATAAAAAAAACATGGATGCTTGGAAATATGGAATCTCGAAATAAATTCTATATTTCCGCGCCTCGAGCATTATTTATTCGTGGTATATCATGTTCATATATTGGAAGCCACAACGTACCTGGTAAAAAGGCAGGCAGTGGAATAGAGTTTAGTGGAATGAAATTTGATACAATTGGAGCAACGGGAACATTCGGTTGCATTGACGGGAACATTTGATTTGAAAAATCCATTTGCATCGGGGGTGTTGCCGGCGGGGGAACTACAGGGGGAGGCGGTGGTACTTCTGGCGCCGGCGGTGGGACTGCTGGAGGTGGGACTGGTGGCGCAGGAGGTGGAACTACAGGAGGCGATGCAGGAATTGGTGCCAAAGGTGCTGGGAGAGGTGGTGCTGGTGGCGGGACAGAGGTATCCTGCACAGGGAAGGGTGGAGTATCTACTGCAACGTTAGACAGAGATTGTGTTTGGTAAACAGGAGGTGGTCTAACTGAGAGGTCTGGCTTCTTCTCGTGATGGTCATGTTTTATCAAATCAGAGTTCAGCGGACGAAGCCCTGGTAATTCATGTGTTTCCGATGAAGGCTTGCCTTCTTGCGGAGTGGGATTCATTGCTTGTTGATTTGTTTCACTGGACGAAAACTGTTCCATTGTTGGCATCTGTGGCTGCTCGACTTGAGTTGCCTATTTTCAAAAAGATTACAATTTTACCGTATGACTGACGTTATCAAGCACGCGACATAGCACAAAGTACTCTTGAACACCCTTGATTTTATTGTATGAAATAGATAACATTGAACCTTTGTCTGTTCAGTTATAGATACACGGATGACGTCATTTGTGATAAGAACAAAAGTGAGTGGCCACTTTGTTTTGTTCTTATCCCAAATGACGTCATCCGTGTATCTGTAACTGAACAGACAAAGGTTCAATGTTATCTATTTGTTAACTTGATGATTAAAGTAAGCGTACACGCCCTATAGAACGATAGTATATATAAATATAGGAGAGTTGGGTCTAGAGCACGTGTGTAAACTCAGCTCGTTACATTACTGTGAGAAATATTCCGACGAATTCTCCGAATTAATGAAATATTATACGAAAATTTGTTGACTGTTAAAACGTAAAACGTACGCTATAAACGTTCTCACACTTTTCTCTTAACCCACGAATCTCGTGAGTTGCGTGGCGGCTTCCACGATTAATATTCACCTCTCCAGCGGTTAATACGTAGTGACCGCTGTTGCCTGTGAAGGACTGCAGAAATTGATATTCTTTCGCTCCAGCAATGAATACGAGTGAAACGCTGGCCAAAATTATGGCAGAATCTAGTACTACTATCTACTAGTAAAGTAGTATTTACTGGTAAATGCCGGGAATGCCGTGTTAAATCTAATATTCACGTGGCCAAAATGGCGCAATTTTATAGGACAATATGAATTTGAGGTATAATATATAAAATTAAGCGATTAATCAAGCGGTCAAGCTACGGTCCCGGGTGTACGTATAGTAAGTATATTTGTGTTTGAATTAGCGTAAAAACAATCGTTATCAAAGAAGTTAGTCGGGCATAAGACAAATAAATGAATATGCAGCCCCCAATCTAGCGACGGCCATGGTTCAAAATAAAATCTCTATTGAACCAGGAAATAAAATCTCTATTGAACCAGGAAATAAAATCTCTATTGAACCAGGAAATAAAATCTTTATTGAACCAGGAAACAAACTATTTAATTTGATGAAAAGTAAAACTGTTGGGAAGTTCACTTGTAGATTTTCACTAACCCAGTGTCAAGCTAATTGGTTTAAAAAAACTTGTATCTCGAGAATCATTGCATAAAGGAATATCATACCTGTGAAGTTTGGCTGATATCTGCCGGTTGTTCCATTGGTAAAGATTCCCCGAAAATACTCCACTGTGCACGATCCTCGGGAGTGATAACCCCTGAAGGCTTTTGCACCGGAAGATGTGGTTTTTGGGATTGCACGTGTTGTTTTGAAGCCTCCTTGTGGGGTGCTTTGACAGCTTTGGACTTCGGTAATGGTGCCGTCTTTGCGTTTTTCACAAACGCACTGGTTGTGGGGACAAAACCCGGAAGTAGTTCTTGTTGTTGAACGGGTTGGGCAGGGACTGCATCTGGGAACATCAAATTGGGTGGGGGAATTGCTGGTAAAGGCGGAAGGGGAGGAGGGGGAGGTGGTACAGGAGGTGGAGGAGGTGGAGGTGGTGGTCCTAGCTGTGACGTTTGAGCGGGAGGCGCGAGGGGAGAGGGTTCAGCAAATGCAGCATCTTGCTGTGGTTGCTGATAAGGCTGTGTCATATCTTCCACAGGGTTGCCAGAAGGCAAGCCATAAAGATAACCAACATTATATTGTGGAAATTGATACGCTGTCGGACGATGTATGCCACGACGCTCTGCTATCGCTACGCCTTCCCGGGCTCTGCTGTCGGCTATGAACTTGGCAACTTCTAAAGTCGTTACAATTCTAAGAATTCGCTTTGCGAGTGATATCACATTTAAATCGCTTCTAGCGACATGATTCTTTTTCGCTGCTTTGTATTTTGCAATGTCCGCTCTCAATTGTTGCGTTATTTGATTGGTTTGTTCTTCAACATACATTGGATCTGCTTTCACACCTCGCTCGATACCAGTCACAGCATCGGCCGCACGATCAACGTTGAATAATCTCGCTTGTGCTTCCTCCACGCTTTCATCTGTTGCCATAAAATGAAACAAATTACAAGTCACATGCTGAGAATGTTATGAAACGAAATTTTGTCTTCCAAATTATATTACTCTTCTTAGGAAGTATAATGTGTGTCCATGTCTCTTTACTTTCTACAAATATCGAGGTTTGTTTGGTTGCCAAACGTGCAATTTGCGACAGCGGACTGAATAATGAGTTGCTGTCATATTTCAAATATCTGTCAATTTTTCAAAAACTAGCTAATGGCTGCCAAAAAAGGTGATCCTCATATATTGTGATAATCCTATTTACATCAAAATGGTAATCCTATTTCTGGGCGATATTGTGCGCTAGGGTGGATTTCTACTTGCATGCAGAGAGACAGTTCGTTAGCGATTTGGATATTTTCTTTTGAATTTGGACAAAATAAATAAATTATAGTTCAGTTTGACTGTTTTCATTTCAAAAGAGAATATGCAAATATTTCGCGAGCGAACCATTTCCTTGCAAGTGGAAATCCAGGCTAAACGACGCAATCTCTGAGAGTAAGATATATCAGGTTTTAGCCCTTGAATGACAAAAAAGTTTCCTGCTTTGAAAATTAAAACTAAAAGAGCAAAGAATTAAAAATTGTCAACCTCAGATTAATTCATTCATCGGGAACCGAATGGTTAAAATATTTATACCTATTTCCCGAGGAATCCGAACGATGTCTTGTCTAGTAGCAACATGGTTGATATGCGGTCGAAGCTCCAATAATGCCTCATTATGAGCTTTATATCCTGTACTTCTGCTCCTAGCTGGTAAATATGAGAGAGAAAGAGAGATTATAGCATCTATAAAGACGGGAACAGCAATGAATTCACGAAAAGCGCGCATGCGGAAGAGGTTCTGTCTCAATCAGTTGTTTTGAACAGGTTTTGGGTTGTTTCCATTGATCTTCAAACAAATTTTTTCCTAAGTTATTTATTTACATAGAACTTTACAGTTGTGTTTTCGCTTATTTATCGGATTGAACAGTCTTCGAAAGACACAACAACGCCCACAACACATTGCGTTTGGCAAAAAAAAATCATAATGCTGTCACCCTATAGACATATATTCCTAGTCTGCGGGAAAAACAGATCTTCTCGCATTAGTTTCGTAAAACTGAGCATGAATGGAAGGATATCTCAATTTGGTTCCCGCCGACTAGGAATATGTCAGTGTAGTTGGTGATAGTCGTCACGAGTGACATATGTACGTGCTAAGTTTACCAGTGTGCACCAGGCCAATTCTAAGTCAATTCCCCGAGCGTGAAAACAGAGAATGCAAACAGAGAAGGTAAAGAAAACAATGCAATAAATTCTCGCAATTGGGTAAGCCGTGAGGTATATTCCACACTAAAAATCGATTTTTAATCGACATCCATGATTGTTGTCTATATATGGCGCTGTACGTGGCAAATAGCTATATATATATATATATATATATATATATATATATATATATATATATATAATTATATATATATATATATATATATATATAGTCCTGAAGTGGCCCTGGAGGAGTATGCCAGTGGCGAGGCTAACAATGCGTGAGGCCTTCAAGGGACTAATTTGAGTACTCCACGCCAAAAACGTTCACATCTCTATTATTAGTCGACAAGCCTCATGGCTATATTGACATTAGTCCACTAATACAATTTCAGAATTTCTATAGAAATCATATTATAATGGTGCCTGGCACTTCGGAACACGTGAAAGCACCGCCTTAAGGCAATTATGGCGTATTGCAAGACGAATTCTCGACCTAAAGTAGAAATACATGTGATAAATGATCACACTTCGAAATCATAAGACAGCAACTATGCGAAGAGCCAGCCCTCAAAGTAGTGTACATAATATACCGCGCACCCTCCTGTAGCCTTGATAACCCGGACCTACAACCCATCTTGTTCAAGTAGAAATTGACTTGGCCCCATTTTAACAATAGCGCATGCCACCTTCGACTTCCCTATCGGTGGTGATTTTAATTAGAGTAAACTTTCATAATAAATGATTGATAATAATTTTAGTTAAACTAGATATTTACCTCCATATATGAGCACAAGAAACGATATCACTGATAATAATTTTAGTTAAACTAGATATTTACCTCCATATATGAGCACAAGAAACGATATCACACACGTCCAGATCATTTTGCATTTTTAATATACTAAATGAAAAAGTAAAGTTATAAAAAATTTGAGTCACCAATATTTTCGAAATGGAGCCCGGCTTTGAAGGGCTATATTTATTCATTCTAAAGGGACTTCAACTTCGTTGTGTGCGCAGGTCTGTTTACAACAACGTGACGGGATGTGTGCCTTCTGGCCCAAATCTCACATGCTATAGTTCACATTTAATCAGAAGCCTCAAAAAATACAAAAGTTTAAACACCACGTGAGTTTAGTTTTGCGGAGCTTTCGGCCTCATCGATATCAGTGCAAATAACCAGTATCATCATCGATATTTGCACTGATGATGGTTACTGATTATGGCGATACGTTTGTTGTCCCTCCAAAAATGAATTTGCACAACAAGAGCTATTTCCCTCACAAAGCGATGTCTTCAAAACTTATCACTACACTAAACTCGGGGGAATAATAATATACGACAAGTTCCCTTTCTATACCAAGTGTTTAAAAGATATTAGTTAGGCACGACATTGCGTTGCCGTCCTATACTACGTATTCAGCTCTTTTCAAGAAATTGACGACCTATAAATACACCGCAGTTTGCGTGGCCTGTGGAATTACGTCATATTTTGCAGGCTAAAATCTGAATGAAGGAATCTGTTTTTCCTCCTTAGGGCGGTTTTCCGCTAGGCGGAATTTTTCTACCGAACGAAATCTTTTCGCCTGATTTTCTTTTCAATTGTGAGAATTCGACCGTAGGCGAGTTCCCTTCACCAGTGACCATTAAATTAAAGAAAATCCAGCGAGAATTTTCCTTCCAACGAAAAATTCCGCCTAGTGGAAACCGCCCTGAAGTTTGGGAAATGATCCGCAATGAAACCGCCTTAATGAGGACAATAGGCGACGAAAATTAAGTTTAATTAACATACTTTACTAAGCCTTTTAATTAAACCCTGATTAAACTAGTTTTATATTGAACTGTATTGGAAATTATTTACATATAAAGCACATTATACGCGTACGTTTTATCATACCTAAAACACTTCTAGTCTTCTCATGTATACAAAATGAAATAGAAAAAACAGTGAAGGTGCAATAAACAAAAAAATCTATCAAACATGTGACCGGCGGTATCAATCAAATTTTATATCTTTGCAAAGTAAACTGATATATACTCGTAGTTACCAGTGGCGGGAATAGACATGCATGATCTAACCAGGGCGAAATAAACTAAAACACTGTTTAAACGGGCATAGTAATTCCCGTTGAATTATACTTCTGAAACCATAATTAAGGTGCAAATATGTGGTTTATAATGATTGTAATTTAAAGTAACAATATATGTTGATACTCCTGACCTGGAATAAAAATGTAACATAAATGTACTATAACCTCGACAATTGACACAAGCATGGAATGTAATAATTCCCTGTAAACAATGTTTCATATCTTTTCTATAACAACCAGAATAACATACCTTTCCCATTGTTGAAGTTCCGCTAGGCGATTACATTTCTTTGGGCAAATAAATACGAAAAATTATTTTAAATTTTGTGATATTTTTCGAATTTAATTTTGAGTGATCGATCTCAAAATAACCGCATTTTTGAGAGAGTAGGTAATACCGGATGTTATGTTCACGTGATGAAGCATGGGATTTGATTGGTTAAACCTGGAAAACAAAAACTACTTCACTACACAAACATTGTTTATGATTGGCTCAATATGCAAGCAAAACATTATAAAATGACCTGTTGTCTGTTTAGTGAGCCAAGAAAAAGAGCAGGTTGTTTAGTAATAAGACATCTTCGCGTAGAACCAAGTGTACTTCATAATATTATAACAAGAAACAAAATCATTATATATACATCGTTATAAAAATCGTTATATATACAACAACAACATTTACAACCTTCAGAAAGTGAAATGTGCCATCAACTAAATACGTCTGACAAGGGAATTTCACATATTGGGGGCTCAAATACTGATTTAGCAACGGAACGCAGAGGTTGACTGATTCAGACTGATTCTTACACTCGAGGTCTCGCGTGTTCTCTTATCATGACGTCAGAAAATAATGCTGACGTTGCGTGTTTTTACTGGTTTTTACTCTTATATGTGTATTATATGTGGGGGGTTACCTACTATAAGGAGGCTCAATTTTCTAGGAGATATATGGAATTTATCACTGGGACAGGCTGAAGACAGACGTAGTAGGGGGGAGTCTTATCACGAGTTTACGAAGTGGTTACCAGATTTCACGAATCGCGAAAACAATTCTATTTCACGATTGAACACTCGAGAAAACATGACAACCGCATGTTGTAGCACGGGTTTAGTGCATGAGTACGTTTCATTAGTAATCTGAAAAATTGGTTGCTCCTTGTCCTCCCTTGGACATGCATGTGTTAGCGTCGCTATTAATAAACTCGTACCCTTCGTTTTAGGAGGTTGCGCGATCATATCCTGTGTTAAATTGATTCCGCGATAGCTTAATGCCTGGTTTTCATTTAGTCGCGAGTGTCGTGAACATGTCAAGGTGGCTGATGTGATAGAAAATTTCTACATGAGAGCAGTCAACAATAACCGATTTATTCAAAAATAAAGACAAATTTACATCCGGACTATTTCACATCGGTGAGAATGACTTGTTCACGACAATTACCACTAAATAAAAAGCAGGCTTAAGGGGAAACATTAAAAATCTGCAACATTACAAAGATTCAAAGCATTTAAATATAGGATACAGATCTTCAGGGTATTCTTTCGACGATGAAAATATAAACAATGGAATGAAGTTTTAATTTTATTTTCCTAAACGTCGTTTGCTAGGTATTAGCTACTACTTATTTACAGAAGCATTACAAAATGCCATCAATGCATTAAATGCAAACCATACGTGTGAATACAATTTTTGATACAATCCCCAGAATACCACTATTCTTTCAATTTACCTCAATACCCTACGCTAGTGAATTATATGGGTATAAGTGTTACTTGGATATATGGTCTAAAACAGGTCTGACACACATGAAGCGAATAAGTTCAGTCCTTGCGATGAAATTAAAAAAAATAACCTATTATATATACCACGAGTTTGATCTGGAATAAAACATTTCGGATAATTGCAAACGAAAGAAATTCTTCAAAAGATTTGCAAATATATTTATAATAGACCTTTTCCGTGATTACGTCACAAAATTGTCGTTTTAAATTTAGAACTACCTTAACGAGATGAATTTCAAATTTTACTCTCACAAGTTTTAATCACACATGCATGAAAAATATTTTTTCATTTTGACAAATAAGTGTGGAAATAACACGAGAACGATCGAGGCTCTGGGTCTGGTCTTTAGTCTCGTTTTGGTGTTACAGCTTATAATTATTTCAACATGTATTAGTCAAAATAAAAAATCTTTTTCAGGCTTGTGTTGAAGAAGGATGTTTTGCATCTTTGAACGTATAGCTTTCGAGAGTTAAACTTAAAATCCATATCATTTAAGGTGGTTCTAAATATAAAACGATAAAAATGTGACGTAATTACCAAAAAGGTGTTTCGTCATACTAAAAAGAGGCTGAATGTCGATCCTTTATGTTTGCGCTATTCAAACTAGTTAAGAAAATAAGAGAAGTTTGGAGAACAAGATCCAAACTGTATTCGCTGTTGGTGTTCCGGACTGCTATATTATGCCGCTGTTGTGAAATACACAACAAAGCCAAATGTATTAAATTATTTCCTAAAAATATTGTAAATATAGACCTAAAACATCGAAATCTAATATAGCTTTCCCTTACAAATATTGTATAAAGCTTATAGACAAATGGCCTTCTTTAAGACCGGTATTTACGGGTCACAATTTGTCGTAATTTGCACCTGATAATCGTAACTTTCGGTAATTCTGGCCAATCAACCAAAATTACAATGAATTGCGACTTTTCAATCACGCGAATTTCTGCTTTTGTTCTTGAGCTCTTATCTGGCCTTTCTGGGCAAATGACTCACAACACAAAAGAAGACATTCTCTTCGCGTGAAAAAATCAATTTGCCAATATATCCGCAATATGACTAGGATTTGTGTCCAGTGACATTTTTCACCTTGTTTTCAGGAGCCATTTTGGAAAACGTGAGTCTGTTGTTCCGACATGGCAAAAGCTTTGCGTTTCTTCATTAAAATATTTTCGCAAATATATCGCCAACTATATGACTAAAATTCTAACATATAATTAGAGGACTTTCTTGCGGTTTGGAAACTAATTGCTCAAATTAGCGCCAGAACCGTTAAACCTCCACAATTTTGCCTACAAGTCTATGGATAAGTTGGTTGATATTATACTCTTTCGCTGCACGCATTTCGCTACGGGCGTTTAGAATTTGGTAAAAATCTAGAGATCTAAAATCCACCTCGACTAAATATGGTACATATGCCAGGTTACTTAACGCCGAGGTACTTTTTGAAGTACTAGATAAAGTGGGAAAGGATACCTGGCATTTTTTTTGGAGGGGAGCACGCAAAGAGAGCAAGGCGCGAAAAATGTTGATTAAGCGAAAAACACTCGAAAAATACATTTACTCAGGGGTCTTACTAATATGTACTTTTAATGCTACTGAAACTTGATTTTTGTTTACTGGGAGATTTTGAATTCTTATACCCCTGTGTCTCACACGCCTTTCAGTGCTCAATGCGTTTCCCTAACCCTGCCAAATAAGCTACAACCTACAGTCGTAGCTACGATAATTGATTATTAAAACACTACTATTGATACATGGGTCCTAATACATGGGCCGCAGGCCTCATTAGATATTGTCGGTACGTATTTAAATGACCTCCAGGTTGATTGTGCCTCATGGAAGCCCCCGGGGACGAGGGGGACACAAACGATGGGCCGGGTATCGCGTAATTTGGCACCGGTGCGTGGGGTTCCTTGTACGCCACGCGGCCTGGGGCCAGTATGACCGGCAGAGCCGAGGGTGAGCGCACTGTAGTGACATTAGGAGGAACCTGTGAGGTATAGACTGTTGATACAGCATGAGGAATATGAGAATACATTTGTGAAGGAAGATATACAAAATGATCATGTCCAGCATTACCTGGATGGAGAACATGCGTCGTGGACGGCATTTGGGCGAACGGGGGATGGCCTGAAGCACTTACCGGATACCCAAGGGTCGGTGAGAGGAAACACGCGCCGTTGGGATCCGATGGAACAGGGATGAAGGTTGGCAATAACTGGAATGAATTCCCTGCCTGCATTTTAACCGTTGGACTGTGATTCTTACGGCTCATCTCGATGAATTCCCGTGCTCGTGATGAACCTCTTGGATTGGTAAACGCAGAAGCGGTATCATGCAGGGTTTGAGTCTCTTGGTCACGTGATGAAAAATAATTCTTCCCAGTCCTCCTGACTTTACAAGCCTTCTCAAAGTCAACAGACCGCCCAGAACTGCACTCAAGAATTGTTTCATCTTTAACAAGAGGGATTTCCGGTGAAATGCACTTCCTTGTTGCAGAGACGTCATCTTCATTATCATCGACGTTCAAATAGTTTGTACTCTCCGATTGCTTTGTGGCACAGCCTGTTCTCGGACTTATCCAAATGTCCCTTATGCAAGACTGTTTGTGCCTTGGAGCAGGCTCAGGCAGGGTAGCCAGCGGCAGCTGCGTTTCCTGGTCAGTATTACGATCCTTCATTCCGTGTAAAAATTCCTCGCTATGACCAGAGCAATAACCTGGGCACGAATTAGCCGGCGCCTCTCCGCCTTGGAAATTGCGTTCAGAATTAAGCAAAAAGTTGTTGCGAGGTAACGAGAAAAAGTCATCTGCGATTCCTTCGTTGCTAAACGTAGATGTGCTTTGACCTGAAAAAAAATCAGTTACAAAGATTGTAAACAGCTGGTCGATCGTTACATTTATTCTTTACAACTAGTATTCTGCAAGAGAAAATGTATATGGGTCTATTCAGTAGCGTAGCCAGCCTGTCGATTTGTCCCGCTATGCTAATATTTTAGTGTTTAATGACTGTGAACACAATAGATTTCTAAAGACATGAATAGTTATAGTAACTCGAAATTTACATAGCGGGACAAAATCATCAGGCTGGCTACGCCACTGGCTATATTTGAGTGGCAATGATTACATGTTAAAAGACTAAAGGTATGGCGACAATATTTTCCTGAACATTGTGTAAGAACTTTTCCTATAACTTCGTACATATAAAACATACATATTTCACTCAACTGGAATTATATACAAACAATTATCTTTTTATTATAACATTTATAGTACGCGCGTGCTGATTGGTCGAGAAGCCTGTTTCTATAACTGTACAGAAACACGGGACTTTTCCCGCCGAACTTGACAAGCGAAGTAATGTAATGAGAATTTGTAATTGAATCGCAAATTGCCAAAGTGTTATACTTAATCCGTGAGAAAAGCGAATATGGTGTTTACCTGTTATATCAACGGAGTTTGATCTGTCACTGGAACTTGAAATGGTAATAACGCTGGGCGAAGGACTGTCATGTATTACGATTGGCGAACAAATTGTTTTCGGCTTTCCCCTCATCGTGTAATCTTTCGTCGTACGGTCCGGTGAAATTACCATTGGGCTGAGGTCACAATGATTCCCATTTCCAAAATTAATGTCGCTCACCGGCGGTCTCCGACCAGGCGACGATAAACACGGATGCTGAAAGTTAGGTAATTCGTATTCGTGGTTATCCAAGTGTGTTCTGGTCGCGCTGGGGTATTTCCACGTGGAAGCAGATGGTCGGCATGTCGCTGGATTCCAAATGGACGAGCCCAAACCTGCGGTAAACATGCTTCCACCACGCTGGTTGTTCTAAATAAATCAATAGATATCTTACGACATATTCCAACAGATTCGTGTTAGAAACCTTGTCGTTTACGGTAAATTGACTACATTTGCCTGACGAACTTAAAACACGAGACGCTTAAGTCAGAAGATTGCCATCAATCTATGTTGGCAAACCTGAATCTTACAACCGACGAAGTTACACACATTTTGATATATAATATAATGATGTGATATGATATGATATGATATGATATGATATGATAGATATGATAATATGATATGATATGATATAATTTATGATGATATATGATATGACATGATATGATACAGCTATTTGCAACATTTCAAACTTTTGGGTTTAACCGGAAACTTTGAATGTTAAACTATAAACCAATGAGGTTACACTGTGATATTTCGACAATTTTGACAGTAGGTGTATATTATTTATATATTATTACAATTATTCATTTAATTACCTCATCGCGGTTTCCGCGTACCTGGGTGACGTTTGGGTCCTTAAAAAAAGTTTTGGAAATAAAAAAATTATGACAAAACCTTTAAAAATATTTATCCAAATATACGATCCATTTTGCAATCTACTTGATTAGGCGTAAGAACAAAATGTGCCATGAATATGTCGACAAAAAAACAGCAAGAATAGCTTGAATCTCAGTTTATAAAGTACTCAATCTTGTTGCCCGAAAAAATCTTCAAAATTGAAGCTTACCACATGATAAAACGGACTGGTATCGCCCGATATGTATCCATTGTCATTAGATACACACTTTGTTTGTGTCCTACAAGAAAATTCAAATTAGACATTAGCTGGACATTACAATAAGAGACAACCGGGGGGTTGCACTCCGTAACTCTACAGCATCAATTGTATCTTGCCTACCTCCAAGATTCAGAATGTGCAGGTGCTTGCTGACTGCCGTGTCCACCAACATTTTGCCATGGAACGAACTAGGAAAAGGTAGAGAGAGTCTTATTTACAGACAAACAAGCAACAAGATTGATTAATATCATTTCACTAGGACTGTGGTTTACTAGGACTCTTTCCAAACATATATATCAACGTTTTTTACATTGTCGAGTGAGTTTGGCTTTCTCGACTCGACTTAAAGAAAGTAGTCTGCTTTACTAGTTGTTCTTAGGAAACCTGTAGTCGTAAATGCTATTACCACCATAGCGTACTGCTAATTATTGAAACAACAACTAGTCAAGTTCCGCACCTTCATGTACATTTGGCGATGTGACGTTGGCATGGCAACAGGTACACTTGTGACGTTTGTTTGCTGAATGGTTGGCGCAGGGATGTTGACGACAAGTGGCTTTCCCTAAAAGATGAAACAATGGTGTTGTCGCTAAGATTAACAATAGCGTCTTCAAACAATTCTTACAGTGCGTCGATTAAGCGCCGAATTTAAAAGTAATTAGTGCGGCGCACATTCGGGGGCGGCGCTCTTTAAGAAAAATTTATCGCAAATGCGGCGCTCATTCGGGGGCTGCGCTCAATCGAGTAAATACAGCATACTCTAAATTATCCTCCAGATGCCTACTGTGACGTAATATATGCACTGAAGGCTGAAACGCACGCCATTTGTCAATTTTATGCAATATTGGACTTCATATCTGCACGAGTCAATCTATATCTTCTTAACGGTTCAAAGGTCGTATGCATAAATGCATTACAAGCACTACCAAAGACTCTGTTACACGGTCAAATTTTTCTTGCAACTTGCAAAGCAATTCTACTTATAAGAGATCGGGGAGTTAGTAAAGAGTCTCCAAGTTGTAAGCGTAAGAAACGTTTATTTACATCTCTCAAAAGTAGATTGTATTGCAAGTTACATGAAATATTGCAGCGTGTAACAGAGCTTTAACGTAAAATAAAATTTTATACATAGCACAATAGGATGAAATTTTATATTACGTACCATGGTGATTAGTGGCGGTGCACCGGACACAACCTGCTGGGGTATGTACGACGTGTCCGGAATGTTATGATTCATAATGTTATCTCTGAAGGACGTTGGAAATGTCAACATCGAATTCCTGTTATTACAGGGTAATCGACTGTACGTGTTTCCCACCAACGTGTTCGACTTCTGCTCTGTGCAGGCGTTGTTGCGACAACAAGCCTCCATTTTGTGAACGGCCGAGTTGAATCTGCAAAAAACAAAATCAAGTAATTACACCACAATGCATGATACGTTTCGAAAATATATCAAAACCCTACTTCAAATTACTAACTCTCGTGACGAAGTGTTTTGTCTATTTTAGGCATTTGTTATACCACATTTGCCACGCTGCTCCCTGGTTATATCAGGAAATATATCATGTCCAAGTTACTCATTAAGAAAATGCAACAGTGGTTTCATACTGTTAGCGATAATGTTTTATATTATTTTAAGCAGATATTATGTGTAATATTCACTCTAAACGAGTTTGGTATAGTTTTCATAGACTTCCTGGATCGTGCGAAACACGCATGCGTCAACACTGAAAAGCTGTTTCGAACGATTCCGAAGGCTCAAAATGTCGGTGTGAGAAGGAGTGACTTCATAATTGCGTGTATCTTCAAAGCCATATTTCTAGCGCAGAAATAAACATCGGATTATGAGAAGCTTATAATAAAAAAAGCAAGAAAGTAACAAATCCGATCGTCTGAAACACTTTGTTTATCAAGAGAGCAAAGACACATTTTACATTAAAAAAATTGAAAAGTAAAGGAGTAAACATATTTTTGTATGAGTTATGCGACTAAAATGTTCGTTTTCTGAAAAAATATGTACAAATTTCCCGTCATGTTTTCATAATTTGGCACGCGTGCAGACGTTTTTCTGCGGTGTTGGTCTTACCTGACCGAACTCGACCCGAAACAGCTTCTCAAGCACAGATATTTTGCAGAAGAAATTACTTTCTACTCCAGTACTTATGAGAGGGTAAGAAAGTGAATTGCTTACACATCACTGTTACTGTACTCAGCCAAGTGAGTCAGTGTAATAAATGGATGACTCAAAGCTGCGTCAGGAGTGATTCGTTTCTCGGGATCAATTGTCAACAGCAGTTTCAATAATTTTACAAACTCGTTTCTATAAGCACAAAAAACACAGGTCAACATTTTTTGGGTATTATAGTGAGGCTGTCCTAGTGCGCAACCCCTGTTTACACACTCAATTTATTGCAGGCACGGCACGCATCTAACGTTTTGTTTGAGACCTTGCATGCAGCAGAGAATTCAATCACGGCTCATAGCAATGAATTCCAGCGTGTCAGCAGTGAATCTGGGTGATACCTGTCACCGGTTTTGAACCTTTGCCAACGCTGACCTCCGCCAGCAGCGAATTAACAAAAATGTGTCAACAGCACTTGTTTCCATTCGTCAAAATAACTGATCACACCGTGTAAGGGCCTTTAAAATAGTATTTAGTACCTTTGATAAAAAAGGCTGTGACGCACCTGTCAACTTTCTCCGCTCTTTTATCAATACCAGACAAACCACTCGGAAACTTCACGTCTGCAATATCGTTAAGATTCTTGAAGATGTATTTTCTTGCCTCTTGGGATTTAATTTTTGTTTCCTTTTCATACTCTAGCGGTTCCTGCGCAAATAAAATATTAGGTTCTCATTGAGCACATAAGGATTTGTTATTTTGTCAATGAAAATTGCAAATTGGTAGTGTATAATATGCAAGAAAAATGGAATTAATTGACCCTAAATTTATACCACAGAATACAACATCATGAAACTCCTAACGTTTCCCATGGATACGAATGAGAAATGGAAAAACGTTTCCTAATGGAAGCAATGTTAAAGATAATTAATGGAAAAAGTAGAACTGCAATACAGATTATATAGAGATCAGTTTTTCGGTGACGATGACATTGACATGTGACTTTTGACTAACACGACGATGTTATTTCCTTCTATCAGTTTATATCATATCACGAATTTTTCAGTTTTCAAAATTTGCTAATTTTGACAATGTTGAGATATCCTTGGTAATTACTGAATGATAGTACATTTTGACTGCTCTGGTACCTATATCTCTCAAAATTTTTGTTGGGAATTGAATTTTATTTGCTTCTGAAAATGAAAAATTCGCGTCGCGTTAGCGAATCGCTTCCAGTGTGTTTGGGCGTTAAGGTCGACACAGACCGGACGCGAAGCGGCAACGCGGCGCGAATTTTCAGTTTTCAGAAGCATATAAATTAATTTCTGGAAGCAAAATTTGGAATCTATGGACGCCAATATATTATGTAATATACAAGAAATCAATATTATGATAGGTTAAAATTTATTTGATTTTGAAAAATAAAAAAGGTTGAAAATTCGCGTCGCCTTGCCAGTTCGCATCCTGTTTGTGTGTGTCTTTACCAGAAGCATATAGTGGTTTAAAACATAGCGTGGATTGGCGTGGCCTTTTCAATGAAAACTACTAAACCTCTGAACAGATCTGTTTTTTGTATGGGATGGAACTTTAAAAAGTTCAATTTTTATTCTGAATACGCATTCTGCAATCTTTTGACGGATCTCATCATACACATCTATATCTGACTGCTGTGAAATGGCCATTTGAGGTGTAGTTTGTAGATTTTGAGATGCATACACAAGGTTATTAATTAATTCAGACGATTTGTTTTTGCCGTGGGCAAGCTTCAAATCTTTAAACTTTGTGCAAGACATATTGTTTCTCAGATATCAGTTCTTTTATTTCTCGATATCGGCTTTTCTCGATATTAGCTTTTCAAAATGGCGGTTTTTTAAATCAGTTATCTTTGTCAAAGTTAATGAGGAAATACGGTATTAAACGAAAATACTTTAACTAAAAGTATATATAAAGCGAGAAATTTGGCCTAAAACTATTTCAAAGTAAAAACTACGTTTTAGAATGCTTATAAATTTCATATTTTGTACATTTTTTTTATTTATTTGCCGTGAAATTGTCGAGATATTTTTTTTTTCGTTTATAAAAATGTATTTTGGCAAGACATTCATTTTTCAAATAATCATCTTTGTAATTATACTAAAACAATTATTCGCCAAAGGCAAGGTGAATATCACGCATTGATATATTTGGCCTAAGGCTGTACATGAATTATAATAACAATAATTACAAATATTCGCCTAAGGGGGGAAATGAATATCGCCGAATAAAACGCAAAATATACTACAGAATATCATGGAAGGACTATACTTTGTCGCGTTTTTATGGCTTAACATATACTAGGGAATACACAAGAATAACCCTAAGTCACTCTAAGCGACCCTACCTTTAATTTGTATTCCCACATCATTGTCGATTTATCAAAATTGGTCTTCTTGAAAAAGCGAGAGACCTTTGTACCAACAATAAGCAGTTCAAACAGCCCGATATTGCCTTGTGTTTGAATGATATAACGGATCTAAAAGGACAAAAGTTAATGATAAATGCTTAGGGCGAAATTCATCAATAATTAATGTGTCTAAGTACCGAGTATCTTCATCACATGTACACATTAGTTAACCCAAATAAAGTTTAAACATTTGACGGAAGACGATCGGTAGTCAAACTAATGCAAGTTAATAATGCATTTGAGCACATAGCTATAGGCGATCTCTATCAACGTATAGCTGGTGTCATAAATTGATGATTTTTGCGGTCAGTGTTGCATGCATGGCTATAGCATACCACTGAACATGTCTGTTACAGTTCTATATACTACTAGAAGTAATCAAAGATTAGCAAGTGCGGTAGGTGATCGGATTTCTCATCGTTAAAAACTGCAAGATAGATTCCACATTTGATGCTATAAAGTTATTTGAAGACGCTGCCACGCTGCTCTCTGGTTATATCGGGAAATATATCATGTCCAAGTGACTCATTTAAGAAAATGCAACAGTGGTTTTATACTGTTAGCGATACTATAATGTTTTATATTATTTTAAGCAGATATTATGTGTAATCTTCACTCGAAACGATCTTATGTTAAAATTAAACAAAAAATTATTTTCCTACTATCGACTCCTAATTTTCATTAAAATTTCTTACCGGAAGCGCAACATTTTCTGCTACGCTTTAAGGCCCTGTTATACACGGTGCGATTTCTCTTGCAACTTGCAATGCAAGTCTACTTTGAAGAGATGTAAATTAGTGAAGAGTCTTCGGCAAAATGTAAGCGTACGAAACGCCATGGAGTGTAATAAAGACAGAAGTTTGGTATTTGTCAAATTTACATCTCTCAAAAGAAGAATAGGATTGCAAGTTGCAGGAAAAAATCAACAATTGCACCGTGTAACAGGGCCTTAAGTATTAGTTAAAATGTTTTCCGAATGACTGACGTACACACTGCCGGCCATTAATTAATATTTACAGGAAAAGGAAATTTTAAATTATTTTACAGTATCACACTGTCAGTTATTTGTCAAAATTCAAAATTAAACTCAAAATCAAAATCAAATGCATACTTAAATGTTTTTTATAGGTAATAATAAGTAAAAACTTTATAATTTTTAGACTTTAGTCTTTATCGAGCGTGTTGTATGCGAGTCTATTAGAAACGGGAAAGTTGAGGTCACTATTTACCGCCTGCGCGGCTTAGCATTTTTTCGTGTTTTTTTTTACATATTAATTCTCAAGACTTTTTGTCTTAAACGCAGCCCTAGCTTGTTCTAAAGTCTCGCTTGTTTACCACCATATAGAGTTGTACCTATAGGCCTGGGCATGCAGGGCTTCTGTTTATTTTTTCCGTATTTTGCGAGTCTGTGGTAGCATTTTTCAAATATTTCTACTTTGCTCTAGATTATAATTAAGAAGAGATAGGATCGCTCTCATCATTCATCAGACATCACTCCATGTTTTCCTGCTTTTGAGGTAGGTGGCAAATTTCAACCAATCTCTAACAGCGATATATCACAAACATAAATACACAAATATACGCGTGTGATGCGCGTACTTATATAGAAAGATTACAAGCGAAAAATAGCATTGCCTACAATTTGGTCTAGAATACGAACTCCTCATTTTTTCATATTCTAGAATATAATCTCCTTATTTTTTCATATTCTAGAATATGATCTGCTATTTGTTCTAGAATATGAAATTCATTGTTTTCACAGGCAATCAACATCAAAAAATTAACATAACTTGCATACTGTTACTGTTACTTGCATACTAAAATGTCATCCAGCTATATACTACAGTCCCAAAGGCCTTAGATCCATTTTGCAGGGAACTAAATTGGTTGTTTGCAGTCTATTTAAGAATTTCGGTGGTGGGTGAATGAAAAAACCCGAATATAATGTAGTGTTTCAGTGATTTGTAGCCAACACATTTTCGCATTGCTGCTGGATAACTGCCCACACTTGCCACATAGGAAGAGAATTTCTGAAAATCGACTGTTATTTAGTAACTATTGGGGTCACATGAATACAAAGACAGAATTGTTGTAAAATGTGAAAAATCTTGCAGCCAATTATTTTGCCTAGGTATTCAACAATAGCTAAAGCAAATGCTAAGACATTTTCATAATGCTAAGTACTACATCCCTTGATAAAAGTCCCAAAGCAGAATAAAAATACACCAATTTCGAGAGTTGTGTTTTGCTCAAGCAGGATATATGCATGTAAGCACTGCAGAGATGCACGTCATAAAGCCTTGTACAAATATTTCTACCTGATCATATTCAGATGACCCAGGATATAATGGCCAACCAAGAAATAGTTCTGCCATGACACAACCAAGCGACCACATGTCAATGGCTTCATTAAATTGTAAACCAAGAATAACTTCTGGTGCTCTAAAATGGATTTTAAATTACTGGTAATTGATGTGGACTTAGGTGCAGGCCATTTGAGTGATTTATAAAATGTTTTGATGTACACAGCTGACAAAGTATGCATGTTTGAGCTAAGCATCAGACTTCAAGGCAAAAAAAGTTTTAGATTCCACTTAATAATTCTAGTTCCAGTGACTTGTATTTCTCAAGACATGGACACTGTGTATTTCATTTTATAAAGGGACATATTTTACTGATCTATTAATCATCAAAAGTGCTCTTTAAAAACATTCTATGCCTAATCATTGCCTTTATATAAAATGAAATTGACAAACAAGATAAAATTGTTTCAATCTTTTTCCGTGTCACGGGATTTCTTATATTCCAGTATGTATGTATACCATTCTGTAGAAAACGTTTTGTAAATTAAAGATGTGTGTATTATTTAATTCTGAAGGTTACTTTTGGCCTTTTTCAATATGCGACTAGGAGTATGCCCTGTCTGACCCCAAAATGTAACGGAGGCACACAATCACACATCTTTAACTGATGTAGTACAAGGAAGTATAGTTCATAATAGTTGTGTATAGCAATAGGATATAACTGCAGGATTACTCACCTGTAATATCTGCTCTGGAGATATGTCGAACAAACGGTATTTGAGACATGTGTCGCAGAGCCGAAGTCAATTACTTTTACGCGCAAAGGGAACTTATCCGGATCGACCAACATGATATTTTCAGGCTTCAAGTCGGCATGAATAAGTCCGAGAGATTTGAGTTTGGATAAAGCCATTAAAACTTGTTGAATGATCGGTCGAATCCTCCTTAGAGGCATTGGGCTAAATTTAGACTGCTTCAGGTAGTCATATAGGTTCTGCTTGAGCATTTCAAATACCAAACATGTGTGCCCCTTATGTTGGAAATATTCGATTGCCCGAACGAAATTGTACGCTTCCGAATTCTCTGCGCGCAAACGCGCTAAAATGCTGATCTCAACTTGCCCCTGTCGCACATATGACGGGTGATTCTTTAAAATTTTTATAGCAACACATTCATCGGTGCCCTGTTTCCAGCACTTGACCACTTGGCCAAATGTCCCGCGTCCCAAAAATTCCAAAATTTCGTATTTTGAATGAGAGGTTGGCGAGCAAAGTATTTCATGTTGCACCAACTTATAGTCACCCTCACTATTGTCCGAGTTTAACTTCTTTTCTTCTTTACGTCTATCGTTGCCATGTTTACAATGTTTCCCCATCGTTGTCTTTGAATTAAAATCCCTTGGGAATAAATATTAAAAACTGTTTCGTTTAACGATGGATAGGTAAAAAGTATTCGTCGTGTGAGGCCAGCTCAACAAGACATATAATTTTTCGGGCATTTTCCGTGTCCAACATTTTCTACGGTTTTTACTACAATACTAGAACGATCCTTTGCCACGATAACATTAAAAGGACGAGATATTACAAAAGACAAAGCCGACATATCTGGCGTTTCGTTCCATCGGCGCCGCTTCCTTCCATGTATATTGACAAAGCAGAGTCTGAAAAGAGAATCGATACCAGACGTGAAACAATAAAACGTGAAAGCTTCTCAGTTTAATCAAAATAGCGCAGCCACGTTTCAAAAAATATATATTTTCGACAAAAGAGCTGGTGGCTGGTTTGAAATTCTATCTAATAAGATATTCATGAAGTGAAAACGCAAAGCAATAATCTATTATGTTCTGGAGAAAGCACTTTAAATATGTCGAAGATTAATTTATCAGGACGTCATCGATTTCACATTCTACTTCAATGGTTTCGAAAATATCGTCGATTCCAAACGTAATTCTTACGTGTTTTCCCAAATTGGGTGCGTTGATCTCTATTGAACTACAAGACATTTTATTAAATAAAATCAATCCAAGCGGGGAATGCTGTGTGAATACACATTTCGAAGCCAACTGAGCCAATTTTCATAAGGTCTTGTAATAAACTTCCCAATTCTTCACCCCAAGTATGTTTTCTACCCGTAGTAAATAAGTCAAAAACTGTCCTTACCTTCGATAATAAAAATGAGACGAATACTGGGACGATAGATTCAAGAGACACAGCACAGCACGCAGTTTTGAAGTGCAGCCAGGGCCCAGACGTGAGACGTATAGAGCACCTTCGTTCTTTTACGTTATAAAAATATCGCAATCGTTGATTTAAACAGAGAGATAGAGAAAAACCTAGTCGATCAACCGCCTATGTGAACTTCTCTCCATGGCTTTGAACACACCGACGTCTAAGAGCAAAATACAATTGCAGTATTAATATAAGAGCACAAAGACTTTCATGTTGTTTACGTCTTTCCAAATTATCTTTGACGAAATTATTACGTCCATGACGCACGAGCATTCCTTAGGGGCGATGACATTCCTTAGTTTTCCTAATGCTCGCCATTAACTTTTTTTGTCGTGAAGAGATGCCTGCGGAGGAGGTTAGTCGTGGACCTGTCAAGGTAGCTGATGTGATTGATAGAATATTTCTATTTGTGTGCAGTCAACAATGACCGATTTGAATACAGAAACACAGACAAACTTACAACCGGACTATTTCTCATCGGTGAAAATGACTTGTTCACGACAATTACGATTAAATGGAAACCAGGCTTAGCGATATACAGGGTACCAAAAAATCTCCCCCTCAAAGCCGCTCTTTTGTCTAAATATATGTCAAATTGCAAATCCTATGCACACCATATGCACACTCGAGCCTTCCTCACATGTTGAACGAAATGGGGAACATGTCGAGGGAACGTGGCTTTTGCCCCGTACAAACGGGCAAGCTTTCCTTGACAAGTTTTCTTGACCAGTTCCTTGACAAGTTTTCTTGACCAGTTCACTTGCTCGTGTGTATGACGAACAAGTTTTCCTTGACAAGTTTTCCTAGCGAAGTTTTATTTGCTCATGTGTACGCGGAAAATTTGACTAATTTTTTAAAAACCCGCTCGATTGGCTCGAAGATTGTTGCGCTGTTCTCTCCTGCGCAATTCCTTGTCAAGTTTTCTTTGACGGCCGTACACACGAGCATTTTTCTTTGTTGAAAAGCTGGCATGACTAGCTTTTGCACAAGGCTCCAAGTCAATTTTTCCGCGTACACACGAGCAAATAAGACTTGGCGAAAGCCGGAAAACTTGTCAAGGAAAACTTGCCCGTCTGTACGGGGCTTTAAACAGAACTTTCCGGTAAATTATTTAGACAATCGGTATGTTATATAAAATTCTACTGTTAAATCAATGCATTGTAATTCACGAGCTTAGAGGAAAATAAAAAACAAAAGAGAGTTTTTTACTTGAACTTAACGGGCTTGATACAACCGACCCCTGGACTTTTTCCTCGGAGGAAAAATACAACGATGCTGCAAACTTTTCACTGAACTATTTAGACAATTCCCTTGTATCCAAAAAGACGGAGTTGACTAAAGTTTGGGGCCGCGTTTGGAGTACGTGTATTCTACCTTATTTCCCTCGGGATACGTTTTTTCCCAAGTCACAGCAGTAAAACAACATCCTCCTGTAACACGTGCAGGAAAAAAAAATATTTTCATCAATAAATGTGGAAATACGCCATAACACGAGAACGGGGATAAGAGGTCAAGACCTCGTGCACGTTTTCGGGATGTTCAATAGTTTGTAGTTCTTTCGTCAACCCTGAAAGGAACTTGTCAGTGTCTTAAACTGTCTTTTGTAAAAGGAAAACTCAAGAATGCCTGCACAAGTACTTTTGGATGCCACTGGCTAGAACCTCTAAAATCTGAGTTACAAATCATCAGAATTTCCTTCACTTCTTCTATTGTAAATTTGAAACTTTTTACGATGTTTTGACTATAATATTAAAACTCTATATAAGATAAATTTAAAGGTATAAATATTTTCGGCGGATAATTTACGTTTCTTAGAGCTAAAAGTTTTTTTCCAAATTCGTTAATAATAAATGATAACAAGCTGGTCATATACCATCACTATATAGAAAGCAAAAAAGCTCACATCGATCCAGGTAGCCATATAGGTATCAGTGACTAAGTAGGGTGAGCGAGCATATTCGAGCATATACAATCTGACTTATAAGTCAGGGGGGCTCGAGACGTGTGATCTAGAGATCATGAATATATCGAAACCAGCTGATCTATAAGATCATGACGTCATGAGGCGCCTCAGCAAAACTGATTATCATGCGGCCAGAGTAATTTATCCTCGTTCTTAATTCATATCAATAGTATAAAGGGTGAAATTTTTAACTCTAGTTAACAGTCGAGTGACAAATTAAAGTGTTTAAGCGTAAGAATGAAAGAATTTCTTAAAATTTTCCACTGCCGAAGTCATAGGTAATGACCTAAATGAGTTCTGTCGAGGTCAATCTACAATCCTGGACAAAACGGTTAATAAAAGTATTCAAAATCTTAAAAAATGTTTTGGTGCAACCTGAAGCAAGTGTTTCCCCCCCTTTACCCCCCAATCAATGTTGGATATCTTTTCAAGTTGCCTTTGCTTGCTAAACCCAACATTGCCAAGGGGATGGGGGGAGAAAATCGCATGTAACAAGTAAGTTAATCGGAATGAAATGAAAATTGTACTTTACCAACAGTGTTATTAACAGGTTTTGTCCATGATTGTAGCTTTTGATTGGTCAACTTCGTCAAAAACCCTGGGGCGAATAAGATCAGTTGGAAAGGTTGGTCAAACAATTGAAGGCAATTGAACGTATGTTTTCGCAAAACATCAAACCAAACCAAATAAAAAGCCACAATATATTTCCGCGCACTCAAATACAAATCCTACGTTAATTAAAAATATGTAAAGCGAAGTGTATGTGTCTGATGAGGATTACATATTTACACAAGTTGTCATGCTAGAGAAGTCTCCCACGGCAACCACTTGAGCCACATAAACAATAAAGAGACTTGTCTCTGACACTCCCGACTTCATACATGTAGTCCCAAGTTAATTCAGATCCCGCCTTGATATTGCTGTATAGAAAAGAAAAACATGTGTTAAAGCGTAAAGTTAAAGTGGAAGTCAAGTCCGCGCAGGGCAGAAACTAGAATGATAATTGGGGGGGAGGGGTGTGCTTATTCATATATTCAGTTCTGCCCGGCGGATTTCTTTTGTAAGGGCAATTGCTTAGGAAAAAATCCGTCTGGTAGAACTGAATATATGAATAAACACCCCCCCTACCCAATAATCGTTCTAGTTTTGGTGCATCGGTTCTTCTAGCTCTTTAACAATGCGAGGGCCCTAGTTCAAATTCCGCGTGTTTCGAATTTTTCTAAAATATAAACCTTCGTTTAAAATTATTTAGAAGCATGGTGAATCTAAACAGCATTAGACAGCACATCCTTTTTTAAAAGGCATTGAAGTTTAAAATGTAAACACACCGTTTGTTTACAAACGGACTTGACTTAATTCCACTTTAATATCAGATCTATAGCATGCATTCCGAAATAATTCGTAATAATAGTTAAATTTAAGTTTGTATCAATCGACTTATCACAAAGTCATCGAGACTCGGCTGCGTGGGCCGTGGAGCGGAAAAAAAGAACCTGGGTACGAGGTCGATCGAGTCTGACGATATCTAACTTTCACATAAAGTCGAAAGTCTACATGCATTCCCAAACGCTTTTCTCATCTCAAAAAATTCATGTCCCGAATTTACTAGACTCTCTGTAGTGAAAGATTCGAAGCGCAGTTGTCTGTCATATTCACGATCATGCATGTATATATTTTTGTTCGCTGATTCCTTTATTTTTTCAAAATGGCCTTTTAATAACATTCAATTTCTAGTTGGTATATATTTTCAACCATGGCGAAATCTTTACCACTGATCTAAACGAGGGATGATGTATGATGGCTCCCTGAACCACTTGGTTGGACGACATTGTTCAGTTTGACTTTATTTGAACGTAAGTATACTTTCATAAATTGGGATCCTCTTTGACAATTGTTATCTGCAAAGCTGTCATTTTATTGCTTTTCTATAACATTTCTTAATCGGTTGAAAAATAAGTATCCGGTGGATAGCGCTATTCAGCCTTCGTACAACCGGCCCCTTGTGTATGGCTATAGCAGCCCATGTTAACTTTTCTCCTTTAAACTTGGCGTGCAGCCCATATCCAGTATATACTTTTTGTTAAAAACAAGCTCGGAGAGGAACAAAGTTTAAAATGTTATTCATTATACTATGATTGTTTTCGTGGCATGATGCAGAGTTGCACAAAAAATTTCAGCCTCAGGAGATGAAATCTTGCGTCAACAAGTCTTTAAAGGAAATTTTTACGTCTTATACAGGAAATACATTTCTCAAATCACGAGAACAAACAAGAGTTGGTTATGATGTGAATAACAAGTTTACGTCGATCGAAACGTTCAAGTCTGGTGAGGTGTACATGAGATTCACTTCAGAATTATTCGTTGCGAAAAATTCTCTAGGAAAATAGGAAAACAGTCTTTATTCTTTATTGAAGTCTGTATTTCTTATTTGTACTTACTTTTGAGCAAAAAATGCCACCCAAGGGAAACGCATGTCATGGGTGTCGATGAAAACATTCTGCACAAACAAATTCGGTGAACAGGAGTGCTAAAAAATTAATGAAACATTATTAAAGGTGGAAATCAGCCTTAAGGTCGACAAGACCGGACGCGAATTTTCAGTTTTCAGAAGCATGCAAATTAATTTCTGAAAACAAAAATTTGAAATCCATGGACGCCAAAGCAGCCAAAATGTATTATTGTTATGTAATATACAAGAATATTTTATGATAGGTTAAAATTTATTTGATTCTAAAAAATAAAATTCGCGTGGCGTTGCCAATTCGCGTCCTGTCTGCATGGGTTTTTAGGGCGAGATTTTGGAGTGCGGGCGGCCAAGAACGCAATCTTTTAAGTAATAATTATGCTAATAGTATACTTTTGGCAGTATCACAAGGGCAATTATTTTCAAAAATAAATCTGTTGTTTGATAAATATATTTTTATACGCGCGAAAATCTAGACAATTTTACGGATGATTGAACGTCACAAGTGGGATCATGCAGGCAACATTTCTATCTTGACTGCCGATGATGACACTTTCACAAAGACACCTGGGCTTGAAATTAGAAGTGATATCGATGCCATGCAACGGACCAATTTTATTCGTTAGAAGCAAATCTGAAAGGTCAATCCCGCATATGACGTAATCAAACCTCCGGTTAATGAGGCTGGAAAGTAATCCAAGATGGCGGACATGCAGTTAGCCGCTTTTAGTCAAAATATTTTACGAACAAAGGCCAAAGAGCGACATGACAATTGCGAAATAAAACATTTATCACAATTTTAAAAGCTTTTCAAATCATAGAAACTACATTTTCATTGCCCATACCCTTTAAGATGTCATTATGATTAAGAATTTATGGGCATTCCAAAACTAGTCAACATTGACGCCAGTTCAATACTTTCTATAATTTGGAATTTTTTCTGGAAACATTAAGTATGCATGCTCTTTCTAAAAATAGGCACTCAAGGAGTGCATAAGGATTTGCGATTTTGTCAGTTTTATGATGCAAGAAAGATATAGAAAAATGATTGCCCAAAATGTCGTATAACAAAGCACAACATGATGCCAAGAAGATATTTTAGCGTTTCCTAAAATACTTGAATAAAACGACAAAGCATTTACATTTTCTAAAGTTCCACGAGTAAAATGGGGCTGTATATTCCTATATTTTCCCAATTAAACGCCACCTTCAATTATATTTTATAACGCCGCTCCTTGGTTGAGCAAATTTGGCTTTCAGGACTTTTTCTGCACTTGTATCGCAAGAAGAAAATAGAAATTTATCCTTTCGTTTAGCTCAAAATAATTGGCAGATGTTTAGCTGTTTTTACATTTTACGAAAATAAGCGGAATGCCCCAAAGATCGCGAATAACCACAAACTGATAAACAGTAATGGCGTATAATAGCTTCCGATCGACCACGAATTTTTTAGTCCTCGGAAGATATCGTACTACGTCACATTCTAGATCTATCCTACACAGACGATGACATAAAAGATTTTGCTTAATAAGAAAATCCTTAAAAATCCTCTTTTACCGCTAAGACAAAAAATTAGTTTAAAAAGCGAAAAGGGTCCATGAATCAATATACTTACATTAAGGAATCTTCCACAGTTGCCAAATGTAGCGTCTATCACGTAACAATGCTCTTCCCCAAACAGTGATCTCGTTCTCAGAAACCTCGTGTTAGAATTTTGACCCTGTGTGGATTCTCCTTCTGCAAAAAAAGGTGTGGAATTTTTTTCACTAGAAATACACTTAAACACACATATACTTTGTGGCAGATAAATATATTGGTGACAAAATATTGATCATGCATTGCTATATACGTTTAGAATGAATGTATATAATGTTAATTTAACTGCATGCATAGTAAGAAAATTCATCGTATAAAAATATATAATATAGGTTTTTCAATAGACCCTTTTTTATCTACGCATGAAAATGCAATCAAATTACCCCTGCTGAGAAGAGCGTGCTATAATTAGTAAAAATGCAAAATTTGGTTGCGAAATGTTGTAAAATGTAGAAAATACGAAATTTGTTACCATTTTTGGCCTGAATATGGTAACAATTTTCCGTGCGTAGTAAAAAAGTATACAAATTTGCAAACCAGATTTTGCATTTCTACTAATTTTAATATATTGTACAAGCTCCTATCTGGCTACAGCGGCGTAGCCAGCCTGACGATTTTGTCCCGCTATGTAAATTTCGAGAAACGTCAATCTTTAGAAATTAATTCATCGTCAGGCTGGCTACGCTACTGTCCGGCTTTTCCACAATGCATGTACGGTTCTAACTTCTAAGAAACTAATTTTAAAAGTTTGCAAGCTATAGATATGTGGTTTGTTTCACTGAAGTAAAATATGTGATACGAGTTATTATGACTGCCAACCAGTCTGATAGGTTAGGTCTATTAGTATTAGTACAACAACATTTCAACGATTTCCACTTCACAATAGCTTTGGCGCGATTGACTGTGAAACAATATGCGTGCTACTTAATTAGTAAAACAATATTACTTAATTAGAATAATTCTTGCAACTTGCAATGCAATTTTACTTTTAAGATATGTAAATTAGTGAATAGTCTTCAAAATGTAAGCATAAGAAACGCCCATGGAGTGTAATAAACATATAAACGTTTTAAAAGTAGAATTGCATTGCAAGTTGCAAGAAATATTTCACCATGTAACGGGGCTGGTAGTATAAAGGTTTACCTTTCTCGGACGTGATTCTTCCATCATGATCGCTCTTGTTATTTTTCTTAAATCTTCTTACGAGATCGAACGCTGGCGAACTGCTCCGACTCGAGGTCGACTGCGACAATGAACTCGAATTTCGCGAAGGCGAGCTAGTTTCTGAATGCAGGTCCTTGTCGTCATCTTTATCACCATGGCAACTAGATGCATTGTCACTCGTACTAATATATTTCGCCGTCTGAGAAGGATCATTGTCTATTTCGCTCGAACAACTCTGCTTGTCCGTCGCAACATCGCCAAGCAAAGATGAATCAGGAGCAACGACGCGCTTCTTGAGTTTTTCTATGGTTTCATCCAGAACAGTACCACGTCGGGTTAGAACTGGAGGCTGCAGGCTTTTTGGTTGACTGGCGGCCAACCGTTGTAAATCGTTGGCAGAAAGTAGCTGTGGAATATCATCCTTCGCATCACCAGCAATCCCCTCTTTTGGATTCGCTTCTTCATAATTGTTTTTCCTGTCATCTGTGTCTATTTCATCCTTTGCTTCCCCTTCCACAGCTGCCGTTAGGCTTGCCGTTTCAGGAATTGTTTTGTCCACCAATTTTTCATTGTTTTTATACGACAACTCGTCAGAGGCAGCCTTCGACGGGAGTACTGCGGTGCAACTGTTATCTTCACGAGATTGAACAAGAGTTTTATTTTCATCACGAATAAAATGTATTGTTGATTCCAACTTACTCAATTATAGTTTAACGTAAGACGAAGCTTTATAATTAAGGAAGAAACGTGTATTATATAATACCAAGCGACAATTCGACGCAAACGGTTTTTAAAAAACTTACCGGCGGAAGACACTGAAACCTCGTCGACAGCTTGACATGTGTCTTCTTTAGAGTTTACCATTGTCATTGATGTATCACTCCCTGGCGCAAGCATTTTTAAAAACTGCGATGTTTTCTCTAAGTCACCATCATTTCTTTTCAATGCTAAAACACACCTGTTATTATAAAAATAAAAAAGATTGTAATAGTACAGAATTCTCTGAATAGTTGAGTGTTTATCTTTGCAAAAGGCGACGAGCCGTTTTGTCACGCAGGGTGACAGGTATCATGGTTTTCTAAAGTAAATTTATTTTGTAATCATTACCAAAACAACCGCCCAAGCTCGGTGATTGTATGTCATTGAATAAAAAACTCGACTTTAATTCAGTTTTTATTCACCGATATCCACCTCACCTTCAGCTATCGCACTTTTTTAGTGAATGAAAAGCTATCTGTGTCAAGGTATATCTGTGTCAACTGATATACTTACGTAAAGTATTTCGTAAAAGAAATTCGTATTTCTTTCGAAATACTTTAATATAATACTTACATTAATGGACTGCCAAGACGTGATAACACGTTCGCTTTTGTTTCTCTTTCGACAACAAGAGATTCTACCGATGAAATACGCCTGGATGATATAAAAAGACTTGCTTTAAAGTGTCCATAGAATATCCCTTACCATCACTATATGCATGTCAACACACAACCCGTACAATACACAAATGGACCAATTATAGAGTGAAGGCAGATTTCGTTCTCAGTAAAATACCCCCATCCGTATAATAAAAGAAGATATAACAAACCTTTTCTTTCGATAGTGCACATTAAAGTTCTGAAAATAAAAAATACGTTTTGTTTGGGGCTCGCATTTTACTGAGGTTTATGTTTAACAATTGGGACAACAACGTCAACAACAACAACAACAACAACAACAACAACAACCAAACAACAACAACAACAACAACAACAACAACAACAACAACAACAACAACAACATTAACAACAACATCAACAACAACAACAAAAACAACAAAAACAACAACAACAACATCAACAACAACAACATCAACAACGACAACGGCAACAACAACATCAACAACAACAACAACAAAAACAACAACAACAAAACAACAAAACAAACACAACAACAACAACAACATTAACAATAACATCAACAACAACAACAACATCAACAACAACAACAACATCAACAACAACAACAACGGCAACAACAACAAAACAACAACACATCAACAACAACAACAACAAAAACAACAACAAAAAAAACAACAACAACAAAAACAACAACAATAAACAACAACAATAGAAAGAGAAAGACCAACAACTATAACCGAAACAAGAACAAAAACAACATAAATAGCAATTTGCTCAAAGTATAAAAAAGTAAAACAAGGACAAAGAATGGCAAAGTAGAGCACTACTGTCAAGAAAATGCAACACTGAACCTCATTTTGATAACTCTCACCTTATCTTTGTCGTTCCCATCATTACTGCTTGAACTACTATCCTCATAAAAGCCACAAGCGTAACCACCTTGGGCATCGCCATCGTCTTCCCCGTCATCGATATTCTCATAATCGTCATCATCATCATCATCGTCCTCGTCATCATCATCATCAACATCATCGTCCTCATCATCATCATCTTCGTTCCTCGATTCAATGGCGCTTCAGAAACATAGTTCACACATTTATAATACGAAAAAGACTGAATAGACCTTTCTGCCAATCGCAAGTTAACTTTTTCCAACTTACAACCAAATTTACTCTCATGAGATATGTGCGAACTTCTTCAACTTGTGTTGCATGATAAAGAATTTTAAATTTTTAGTGGCTTTCTATTTGGAAAATTTGTGTTATAGCATATTTCCACTGTCGGGAATTTATGTTAAAATTAGGGATTTGACATTAACCATAATTAATATTAATATAATTAGACATAAGTAATCGAACATCTATATTTAGTGGTGATTGACAGATGATGAGAACAATGCTTAGCAAAGCAAGTCGTAGTGTAAAAGAATTGTGATTGTCTGTGAAAGAGAAAGCTTCATTATTAAAGTTATTTGTTTATATAAAGCGGTGATTTTTCTCTCGTTGTGGAGAACACAACAAAAATCTACCACAAAGGGCACCTCCGAAGGGACATATTTCAATACAGGGACGAATGTGAAACGGGATTTACAATCAAACGAGTTAGGGAAATATTTATGCGGCTTTATGTAAACAAACATCGTTAAACAAGATGATAACACGAAAAACGCGACAAGATACCGAAACACAAGCAGAACAAGCGAATGTATCAAGTGACATCGGATCGAAGGAAGCTGAATTTACTTCGTTGTTGAAAAAGCTCGCTTATTTTAACCGAGAAACGGCCAAAGCTCTTGATAGTGAAATTGGAAGTGACAAAGTAAATAGACAATACACTTTGCTTAAAGGTAAACTAGACGATGCGTATGGGTTAATAGAAACAATACAGTGTTTAAAGATTGATGGCGACGAGAGTGAAGAAACAATTGATGAATGGGCCCGAGGAAATAAGTTAAAATTGGAAACCTACGAAATGGCCGTCGAAAAGCTTGATGAAAGATTAAAATATGATGAAAACATACGCAAGGAGAAGGCGCTCGATGAGAAACTTAAAGAGGAAAGCGCTATTCGAGAATGGATGAGACAAGAAGAACAAGAAGCCGAGAACAAGAAGAGAATCCGAGAAGAACAATTTATTTTACAACTAGAGGAAAAGAAGCTGCAAATGACGGAAAAGAAACGAGTAAAACCAAAATTGCCGGATTTAAAAATATCGAAGTTTGAAGGAACACATCTAGATTGGATAAGATTCTGGAGCATTTTTTCCACTCAAATTGATCAAACATCTATACCAGATGAAGCCAAATTTTCTTATTTGAAAGAGCTTGTCACGCCCAAAGTTCGCACGACGATCGAGAAGTTACCTGCTGACAGTGCTGGGTATAAGAAGGCAAAGGAATTTTTGGAGCAAAGATACGGAGATCCTAGTGAAGTAGTGAACTCACATATTCAGGAAATTTTGTCGCTGCCAGTTATTCATGGAATTTCAAGACCCAAGATTCACAACTTCTACGATGAACTTTTGGGACATGTTCAAGCTTTAGAGACACTTGGGAAACTGGAAGAAGTTGTTGGCAACGTGCGAATGACATTAGATAAATTAGTGGGTGTTCGAGCAGATTTAATCCGAACTGACAGAGACTGGAAAAAGTGGACTTTTACTGAACTTGTCGAAGCTCTGCGGCAATGGGTAGAACGCAATCCACTACAACCGGGAGACAAAGATGCTGGCCAACATCCGAAATTCAAGCCAAGGGATAAACAGTTTACAACTAAAGAGCAATCAAAACAACGTCAATGTGTCTATTGTGAAGATGACCATAAATCAGGAGAGTGTACAAAAGTGGTTGATGTCGGTGAGCGTAAGAGAATTCTAAGCATTAAGAGACGGTGTTTTAACTGTACAGGAGAGAGACACAGAGCGCAAGATTGCAGGAGTAAGAGCCAATGTTATAAGTGCCAACGCAGACACCATACTTCTATTTGTGACAAGAACGAACCAAATCCAGCAATGTGTCAACCTAGTCAAACCAATGTTATATACCCCGTTGTAGTTGTTGAGCTTGATGGAGTAAAATGTCGCGCACTTCTGGACACTGGATCGGGAAATTCGTATGTTTCTTCTACATTGATGAAGTTGACGAAAAAGAAGCCGGTCAGACAGGAGATTCGAACTATTGAGATGATGTTGCATAGTACTTCGAAGAAGATTGATATTTACGGTGTTAAAATTGGAAGCGTTGATAAAAAGTTCAGTATGTCATCCGAAGTGAGCTGTGTTGATCGACCAGTACTGCTAACCTTGCCAAACCCACGTTATGGAGAAGTTATTGCTAATAATCCTCATCTCGAAGGCGTAAAGATGGATGATGTTGACTCGAAACCGACGCTACCGGTACACATGATCTTAGGTGCGAGTGATTATTCACGAATCAAAACAACAACGCCAGCCAAAGTTGGGGACAGCGGTAAACCGGTAGGTGAGAAGACGAAATTAGGGTGGACCATTATGTCACCAGGACGTGAAACCAAACATTCGTACTTGATGCTGACAAGAAGTACACAGGAAGACTACCTGGAACTGTGTAGTTTAGATGTTTTGGGGCTTGAGGATCGACCTGAAGGAGACCAAACAACTGTGCTTGAAGAATTCAAAGAGCAATTGATCCAGAGAGAAGATGGAAAGTATGAAACAGCACTGCCATGGAAAGCTGGCCATTCACAGCTACCAACTAACCTTAACGTTGCGCGATCGAGATTCAAGTCACTGCAAAAGCGATTGGAGAGACAGCCCACCTTGCTTGAGACATACCATCAAATTATCGAAGACCAAGTGGAACAAGGAATTGTTGAAATCGCACCAACGCAATCAGAAAAGCACCACCACGAACATTACATTCCCCATAAACCAGTTGTTCGAGAGGAAGCCAAATCAACAAAAGTTCGCATAGTTTACGACGCTTCTGCGAAGGAAAATGAAACAAGTCCGTCACTGAATGAATGCTTAGAGATTGGCCCTCCACTTCAACGAAAGTTGGTGGATATACTCTTGCGCAACCGAGTTAAACCTGTGCTATTAGCTGGAGACATCAAACAAGCATTCCTCCAAATCGTTATCAAGGAAGAGGAACGTGATGCGCTGAGGTTCTTGTGGATTAACAACTTGCAAAGCAAAGAAGAGATCGTTTACCGAATGACAAGAGTTATGTTTGGTTTGGGCCCGAGTCCATTCATTCTTGGAGGAACGTTGAACGTTCATTTGGAGAAATACTCACAGGGTTATCCTGCGTGTGTTCGAGAGCTCAAAGATGGCACATATGTAGATGATATAAACCTCGGGGGAGACACGGTAGAAGAAACAAGAGAAATGAAAGAAGATGCTGTTAAAATTCTCGGAGAAGGTTCGTTTGAGCTGCATAAGTGGCATTCGAACATTGCCGAACTAGAAAGTGACGTACAGGATGATGGCGAGACTACATACGCGAAGGAGAGTCTAGGAACAACCCCGTCTGAAACCAAACTACTTGGTTTAGGCTGGAACAAAGCAGAAGACACCTTGATAGTGACATTTCCGCAACACGAAAACGAAGTGACGAAACGAGTTGTTCTGAGAACCACAGCCAGAATTTATGATCCACTGGGATTGGCATCTCCTATCTTGCTGACAGCCAAAGTAATTTTTCGGGAAATCTGTGATGCTAAACTGGGATGGGATGTCGAACTGTCAGAATATCTCAAACGACGATGGGAAAACTGGTTGAAGAAATTACCTATCCGTTTGACGATGCCAAGAGCGATACCAAGAGAAATCGGTCTTATTGTTGAACTGATTCTGCATGGATTCGCAGACGCGAGTCTTCTTGGTTGTTGTGCGGTAATTTATGCAGTTATCAAGCAAACTGGTAAAGTTAGTCAAGGGTTCCTGATTTCGAAAGCGAGATTGGCTAAACGAGATCTGACAATTCCTCGTCTGGAATTGGTGAGCTGTCACATGCTTAGCAATCTTCTACACAATGTAGTCAATGTTTTGAGTCATCTTCACATTGGAGGTGTATTTGCATGGACTGACTCTACTGTCTGTCTTCAGTGGATCCAAGGTCAAGGGAAATATAAACAGTTCGTAGCAAATCGCGTACAAAAAATTAACGAAAAAGAAGGAGTTGTTTGGAATCACGTCCCCAGTCAAGAAAATCCAGCAGATATCGGGAGCAGAGGAGCAAGTGAGTTGCAAACCAATGAAACGTGGATGAACGGACCGGCGTGGCTAAATATTCCCGATGAATGGCCAGAGAAAATTGTTACTAAACCCACTGATGTGTCGGAGTCTGAAAGTCGCTCAGTAAAGACCGTTATGAAAACTACCTTCCAAAGGAAATCAGATCCCGTAGACGATCTTCTAGCTAAAACATCTCTATGGAAAGCTGTGCGGATCTTGGCATGGATGAAGAGATTTGCTGCCAATTGTCGGAGAAAGGAAAAAATTCGCACGCCATTACGAACTGAAGAGACCGAAGAAGTAATGAAATTTCTGATTAGACGAGCCCAACAAGACGGTGAAAAATTTGATCATTTCAAAGAACACTGTGAACGATTGAATCTTCAGAAAAACGAAGACGGCATTTATGTATGCAAGGGAAGAATTCAAGGAGTTTATCCAGTATATTTGCCTTCAAAGCATCTCTTATCTCAGAAGATTGTGGAACGCGCACATCTTTTTACCCTTCACGGCGGTGTTGGACTTACCATGAGCAAAGTGCGCGATGATTACTGGATCCCCACACTACGCAGTCTCGTGAAAAAGGTCATAGGTAAATGCTATGGATGCAAGAGATATCACGTAACGCCAATACCCGCTCCATCTCCAGGCAACCTTCCTAAGGAACGAACTGAAGGCGAGATTCCTTTTGAGGTTACTGGTGTTGATTACGCCGGACCCATTACTACAAACGCGACGGGGGAGCTGATCGTAAAGCATACATGATTATCTACACCTGCAGTTTAACTCGAGGACTCCACCTAGAGATTCTGCCAGACATGAGCTGTGAAGAATTCCTGATGAGTTTAAAACGATTTATCGCAGCAAGAGGACGTCCAAAGAAAATCATATCTGATAATGGAAAAACGTTCGTGGCTGCTTCTAGATGGATTAAGAAAATCGAACGCAATGAGAAACTACATGGTTATCTAAACGAACATGGAGTGAAATGGCAGTTCAATCTAAGTAAAGCTAGCTGGTGGGGTGGCATGTTCGAGCGAATGGTTGCTCTGGTTAAACAAGCCTTTTACAAGGTCGTAGGATCTGCGAAGCTAACTTTTAAAGAATTACAAGACGTGATGCTAGATATCCAAATCATATTGAACAACCGACCACTAACTTACTGCGAAGACGATATCCAGCTACCCGTGTTAACGCCAAACATGATGATTTTTGGAAAAGCTAACTACTTGATGGAGTTATCGCCTGAGCATATTGAAGAAAGAGATCTACGTAAGAGGGCGAAATATTTACAGAAATGTAAAGACGCATTGTGGCAACGTTGGAGGGCAGAGTACATGAGAGCCCTTCGCGAAAGACATAATCTAACTCATAACGTCAAAGAAAGAGAACTGAAACGGGGGGATGTCGTTCTAATCAAGGGCGAAGAAAAGAATCGTGGGTTGTGGAAGATTGGGATCGTTGAAAAGCTTATATCAGGCAGAGATTCAGTAGTTCGAGGAGTGAGGCTTCGTGCAGGCAAATCCTTCCTTGAAAGGCCAATACAATTTCTTTACCCCATGGAACTTCATTGCGAGCGAGAAGAGAAAGAGAAGATTCCATTGAATCCCACGGCAAGGGAATTCCGACCGAAACGTAAAGCTGCAGTTGATGCACGACGAAACATTGAACTTATATGTGGTCATGAAGATGAGAACACCTGAACATGTAGAGCGTGAATTATACGTACGTTGTAAGCATAAATAACAGTTATATTTGAAATCTTACATTTCAAATAGGGGGAGTGTGTCGGGAATTTATGTTAAAATTAGGGATTTGACATTAACCATAATTAATATTAATATAATTAGACATAAGTAATCGAACATCTATATTTAGTGGTGATTGACAGATGATGAGAACAATGCTTAGCAAAGCAAGTCGTAGTGTAAAAGAATTGTGATTGTCTGTGAAAGAGAAAGCTTCATTATTAAAGTTATTTGTTTATATAAAGCGGTGATTTTTCTCTCGTTGTGGAGAACACAACAAAAATCTACCACACCACAACAATATCGCATATTTCCACAACAAAGTATTCTTATACTTTCAAAACAGATACGACAAAAGTTAAAAAATAGAGAAATAAAGAGAAATAAAGTTAAAGATGGCCTTACAAAAAAATCTTCATCTAAGGCACGTTTCGAAATAAAGGGCAATTAAAGCGAATAGATGTTGAAAATTTAAAATGTATATATATATATATATATATATATATATATATATATATATATATATATATATATATATATATACGCTGTAGATCGATTACGTAGGCTAGTGCATATGATTTAAGCAGGATTATTTCAAAATATGCGAATTAGTGATTTATAAATATCCCATACTCACCTATTGCCGCTATATGAGAAGTTATCGTCTGATTGCAGCATATCATCAATAATATTGTCATCTTCTTCAAGGTCAGACACGTCAGACTCGTATCCTTCTTTCGCCTTCTCAGCCACCTCTAAAAAGCGGAATCATTTTTCAAAATTTCCGAATTCCTTTATGAATGAACGGTCTTGATAAAGACATTGAAGATTCGCCTGTAAAAACATCTACTAGAGTATTCATCTTATAGAATTTTGGCTAATGACTACATGCATGGTCTTACCAATGTAGTCTAGCTCAGCCATATATTCGTCACCATACTTTCTGCCGTCCTGTCAAAAAAAATTAAACATGTAGTCAGTACCGCTGCTTCCAATAACTTTTCATTGGCAACGCGGCATTGATGAATATAGTAATGCCAATACACGAGATTTTTATTGAATATCTGTTTCTATAAAAACGCATTAGAAGTTACGACTGTAGTATCAGACCCCCCAAAAATTCTTACGCCTGTATTCAAAAAGCTCACTCACACTCATACTCATCGAGTGTGACATATAAATTTCGTTAATGCTGATCAATGGGAAAGTTTTTTTTGAATAGATGGAAAGATATAAGATAAATCACTGAAAATCAAGCCCCTGTTCAGCTGGAAATACCGCCATTGAAACGTTATGAGAAGATTAAGATCTCCCACTCAATGAGTTTGAGTGTGAGTGAGCTTTTAGAATACAGGCGTTAGAGTTCCATTAGATTTTATTCACAATCATTAACTATATAACTACATCTGTTCTTCCTTATATTATACGGATTTGAACATGCTTCATACAGTCGACCAAAACCTCATTATTGAAGGTTATAGAATTTTATATGAGCATTTGTTTTGTCAAAACATGTTCGAAAAACCTGTGGCTCGTATTACCTGATTTGCGAGTTCTTCATTCAATATATAACCAGCATACGTACATACAAAAGTTCCAGCAGGAATGCTATCAGTTGCTCTCAACCCCCAACCTCTGGAAAAAAAGGAGAAAGGTTGATAAATTTGGAACGGGTGATTCGAATACCACGTTAAATAAGAATTTTTGCTGGTTTACAAGACAAACATTCCTTTCAAGAATGTTACGTTGAATCGTAGTTTTTACGTTAACGATACTGCAGGCTTAACGAGCATTGAAGTAAAATTCATCTGTTTCCAGTATTGGTTTGGAAGGCGTAATCACGTTAGAATTGATAAAATTCAAACTGTTCGCACCATTATAAACTCATCATTTACGATAAGATCAAATTTCTTTCTGGGAGCCGCCATAGCAAATTTAGAAAACAAATTTAAACACTTTTTAAAGAAAAACGTTTTAAGTATATAATTGTACCTGTTTTCCGTCTTGAAAACTTCTAAACGTAACTGAATTCCATTCTGAACAACACGATTTAGACAATTCTTCGAACAAGAACATTCGGAATTGCACTCGTAAATTCTAAATAAAAATAAAAATTGACCGTGTGAAACATAACAACATAATATGGTAGCAGTGTGCTATGAAGTAAATCACTATATGATTTATATGAATCACTGAGACGACAAATCACCCGGTCTGAATACAATCTCTGAGCCTCCTGTACTGGTACGTCATCTTGCTAGAATCTTTCATGTCCATCGCCTTGCAACCTTGCAGTGTCAACTGGATACACGCACATTTATTTGCGTCCTGAAAAAAATCGTTCGCATCGGTTTTAAACGTCTTTCGAGCTTGGCACGAAAAAAGACGATGGATCTCATGTCAGTTCAATAGCTTGGGATGCTATGATCAATGAAGCCTAATTATAACTTAGCTAAATGAGAGAGGTGCGCGTTTCTGCATTCCTTGATGCGCGATTACTTTAATTTATCTTGCTATCCGACGAGCGCAGCTGCAGAGAATAAGAGTGTCTTTTACTTTTAAGATCAGATTAAACTTACAAATTTGGTTGCAATTTACCCGTTTTGACAGATGTGAAAGAGCGATAAGTTGCAAGAATTCAATTGTTGTTTGCATCAATTGAAAAATAGCAGAACAAAAATATACAAGTTCTTTGCATTTGGATACACAATCTTTGCATTTGCATAAGTTTCATGTTGTTATTGACAAAGTTCAAGTAGTGACTGTAATTTATTCCAGTTCTCCACAAATGCGGGAGGGGGTTGGTAACGAGGTTACAAGTTTGAAACAGGTTGCGACGATTTTCGTACATTTTATCATGGAGAGAGACCTTTATACAACAATGCATGTACTAACCGAACAATTATCTTTACAATCACAACAAACCATGAATCCTGGATCGGTTGTTAGTTCAACTTCGGGTGCGAACTGCCTCATGCTCATGTACTGAATGTTGGGAGGCAACGTTCCATCCACTTGGTTGACAGCCTGGACGATTAAAATGCGCCAATTGAGAAATGATAACAAAAACGCCTGTGACACAGGCGTATCATATCACATTCGTTTGAATGTCCATCAAACTGATCCACGTTAACATGCATGATGAAATTGGTTTTATCCTGGCATCAAATGTTGTATAACAACTGCCTAAAATAGACTCGAACGTTTCGACCTGAATAAATACTTCTCGACGTTTCGACCTGAATAAATACTTCTCGACGTTTCGACCTGAGGGCATTCATCATGAGAGTTAGTAAGAGTTAATCATTTTTTTACTAACTCTCGTGACGAAGGCCCTCAGGTCCAAACGTCGAGAAGTGTTTTGTCTATTTTAGGCGGTTGTTATACCACATTTGATGCTAAGTTTTTTGAAGATGCTACCACGCTCAACGCTGCTTCTTGGTTATATTGGTTTTATCCTGGTAATATGTTTATATAGTCAGATTAACCAGTCAATTTACCTTATCCTCCATTCCACCAAATGCCTATTACATGGCCACTAAAAAGAATGCTAGGCATATTAAGTACATTAAAAATTTCTCGAACTTACTGGCAGAGGACGATTTTCTTGTCCACTTGAAATGTCGTTTACGACGGCAACCTAAATCAGAGAAGAAGGATATACATTCACTTATAGTAACATGGTGTAAAACCAGAATTATAGGAACATGGTGTAAAACCAGAATTATAGTAACATGGTGTAAAACCAGAATTATAGGAACATGGTGTAAAACCAGAATTATAGGAACATGGTGTAAAACCAGAATTATAGTAACATGGTGTAAAACCAGAATTATAGGAACATAGTGTAAAACCAGAATTATAGGAACATGGTGTAAAACCAGAATTATAGGAACATGGTGTAAAACCAGAATTATAGGAACATGGTGTAAAACCAGAATTATAGGAACATGGTGTAAAACCAGAATTATAGAAACATGGTGTAAAAGCAGAATTATAGGAACATGGTGTAAAAGCAGAATTATAGGAACATGGTGTAAAAGCAGAATTATAGGAACATGGTGTAAAACCAGAATTATAGGAACATGGTGTAAAACCAGAATTATAGGAACATGGTGTAAAACCAGAATTATAGGAACATGGTGTAAAACCAGAATTATAGGAACATGGTGTAAAAGCAGAATTATAGGAGCATGGTGTAAAACCTGAATTATAGGAACATGGTGTAAAACCAGAATTATAGGAACATGGTGTAAAAGCAGAATTATAGGAACATGGCGTAAAACCAGAATTATAGGAACATGGTGTAAAAGCAGAATTATAGAAACATGGTGTAAAACCAGAATTATAGGAACATGGTGTAAAAGCAGAATTATAGGAACATGGTGTAAAACCAGAATTATAGGAACATGGTGTAAAAGCAGAATTATAGGAGCATGGTGTAAAACCAGAATTATAGGAACATGGTGTAAAACCAGAATTATAGGAACATGGTGTAAAACAAGAATTATAGGAACATGGTGTAAAACAAGAATTATAGGAACATGGTGTAAAACCAGAATTATAGGAACATGGTGTAAAACAAGAATTATAGGAACATGGTGTAAAAGCAGAAATTTACGTACCGGCGGTGTAACATTATCCGTTCGCACTCTCCAATCAAAAGTAAAATGATCCACGTTCAAACTGCTCTCGCCTGTCAACTGGAGGTATCTTATTACCTCGGTCATATTTCTGAGCCTGCGATTACATGGTGTGCGATAATACACGTCACGTTTGTTGGTCTTTCCGCGTCTTTTCACAATTTCGCGTTTCCAGTCCATCAATATCGGCACGGCCAGCGGATTGTGCTCGAGCGGGTCTATAGATATTTTACTGCTGCTGCGACTGCACGCAAAACTACACTTATGTGGAACAGCAACTATGAAACAAATTCAAACAAAAAATATTACCAGGTACGTAGAGACTAGACTAGACTAGACTAGAGTAGGCTTCTAAGACTAGACTAGGTTAGACCAGACTTCGAATACTAGGTTAAAATTAAAAATGGCTTCTTGAGGGACTGTGATTTTAGTGACGATAGAAATATCTTTAAGAAAGGTTACGATAAATCAATCGTGCCACTTTTTTTTTCTGGACTATTTATGATATTGAAATTTTGGTAGAAGAAAATTTGAACATGCATGTAGCCGTTAACTGGAAAACGTCCAAAAAGGCTTTACTTTACTTTACTTAATCACAAAATACCTGTGTGCGACTTGTACACCGCGATCTCGCGTTTCTCCGGCAAAATTCCGGTCGTCAGCTTCGTGTCATCTGCCTTTAAAATTTTTGCGTCGAGTTTGTTTTTCAAAATGGTGGCCGCATCGTGATATTTCTGCGTAGGAACAACTGCATATGGTCGTATAACATTGTCAGAAGAACCATGGCGCTGATTACGCTGAAGGTTCAACCATGGAGCCTTCCATCGATGATCTGCTTGCGATGCTTCCCTTTTCGTGTAAACCGGAACAGGCCCGGAGATTGAGGACGGTTGAGGTGATATTAGAGGAGGTTGGTGTGATGTCGAGGAAGGTCGGGGTAATATTGAGGCAGGTTGAGGTATAATCGAGGATGGTTGGAGTTGTATCGTGGGAGGTCGAGGTAATATCGTGGGAGGTCGAGGTAGTATCGTGGGTGGTCGAGGTAATATCGTGGGTGGTCGAGGTAATATCGTGGGTGGTCGAGGTAATATCGTGGGTGGTCGGTGTAATACCAATTGAGGTTTAGGTAATATCGGGCGAGATAACATTGAAGACGTTTGAGGTAACATTGAAGACGTTTGGGGTAACATTGAAGACGTTTGGGGTAACATTGAAGACGTTTGAGGTAACATTGAAGACGTTTGAGGTAACATTGAAGACGTTTGAGGTAACATTGAAGACGTTTGAGGTAACATTGAAGACGTTTGAGGTAACATTGAAGACGTTTGAGATAACATTGAAGACGTTTGAGGTAACATTGAAGACGTTTGAGGTAACATTGAAGACGTTTGAGGTAACATTGAAGACGTTTGAGGTAAAATTGAAGACGTTTGAGGTGATATTGAAGACGTTTGAGGTAATACTGAAGACGTTTGAGGTAGCAATGAAGACGTTTGAGATGATATTGAAGACGTTTGAGGTAATACTGAAGACGTTTGAGGTAACAATGAAGACGTTTGAGATGATATTGAAGACGTTTGAGGTAATATTGAAGACGTTTGAGATGATATCGTGGATGTACTCGGTGGTACTGGGGAAGGTCGAAGTGGGATTGGGTATGGTTGTGTGTCCACGGGGCTGACTGCTTTAAAGATCACGTTGTTTACTAAATCATAAAATACGGAAGCATAATCATTTTCCAACTATTTAAATGCTGGACACTTTAAGTATATCTTACATTAGACAATTTTTACACTCCCATTGTCTTAAGCAGAATAAACTTTCAGCTCATTTTCAAGAACAATAATTTTAAAGTGTGTATATTGTTTTGACCAAAATAAGCCCGAAAAACAAAAAGGAAAAGATTTTCATTTCATGTTTGATTGATGCTTGTTTTTACGGTTTATAGACTGGCATGTATGTCTCCTGAATGTGCACCATGCTTTTTGAAATTCTGAAAACCGATTAAGATCTTTAGTGCTGCTGTTCAACTAATCACATTTCCGGAATCTATAGGGCATGAATTTCAGGTTGGGAAAACAAACACGATCTCTACCATGAAACCAGGCATTTGATTGATCCCATGCATCATTCTTTGGGTGCGCATGGTTTCTTCAATTTTATCGCTAATTACGGTTAAAAGTAGCTATAATAGTAGCTAATGAAGCTTAATAATAATCATACCTAAACTAGCCCCAGTCTTCTTCCTCATAGTGCTTGCTTGAATACATGAATATGTACTTTCTACTTCAGGTTCGTCATCGAGAATTACGACTTCTAGAAGTACAGAATTCAACACAGTGTGTGTAAATTCCATGTTAGGAAGTGTAAAAAAGGCCTAGGTTATACGTCGCACTTTGGTCGCGTCGAATGCAATTCAAACGATAGATAATGAGATGACAAACCATCACATTAAGGTTTATTATCATCTCATTGTCTATTGTTTGAATTGGATGCGACGTAAAACCTAGGCCTTTAAAGGCGATTCTCCATTACCGTCTGCTTCACCCACGCGGGCGAAGCGGCTTTTGAAAATCTGCCCAATGCGACGCTGGCCTGAAAAACAAAGCGCGCTTCGCCCGAGCAGACGTAATGGAGAAACAGCTTTAAACAATTACATAAAATGTAATGTAGTGCTCGCATTTCAAACACAATAGTGCTTCCCTCCTTCTAAATAAATATGCTCGTTTTAGCGTTCGTATCCCACACGTGTATTCCATTCATTGACAGACTTATAAAAGTCTACGAAAAAGTCTACTTATACGAAGCCTACATACACAAGACACAAGCAAGTCGCAAATGTCTGATATAGATGTTTCTGACCAGCAATTGGCATTCATTAATCAAAACATGCTACGTCTGTAAAATAAGTCGTAACGTAGTCTTTCATAAGTGTGTAAAGATAATACTTATTAATAACTATTAATTAGCTACACACCTTTTTTCGTCACTACTTCAGTGGACACCTGTTTATTTTCATTAATCGTCGGAGGCGATGGTGACTTAACCTTTTCGACTTCGGCAGGGGCTTTTTCAAGACTTTTCAGTTCATGTTTTACTTTCGTCGTGGCAGGTGCTGGCGGTCTGGAATCTTCGAATTTCGGATGTTTCAAACCCTGCCGGGATAAATAGAAACATGCATGCAGTTGTTGTAAGCAATACAAGGTTATAACAAAGCCCCAACGCAAGGTTATAAGAAGGTTATAAGTGAAGTCTTATGAAGAAGATGATTATGTACGTCGTAAAAAAAATTGGGTAAGGACGATAAATACATAAAGAAGATAATAAGGTAGTAAAGAAAATTAGGTTAGGGCGATAATTGGATGAAGAAGATAATTAGGTAGCTCGAAGATAATTAGGTTAGGCCGTTGATTAGACAAAGAAGATAAATGGAAAGTGAAGATCATTGGGTTAGGTAACACCGCGGAAAAACGTCTGCGCACGCGTCAACTCTGCCTGTACGGTGAGATTAAAAATAATTAAAAAGCGGTTCCGAACGTTTCCGAAGGCTAAAAATGGCGGCAAAAAGGAGTGATTTCATTCGTGTCTTCAAATTTATATTTCGAGGGCATGAATAAACACTGCATTATAGAAACTAAGAGAAAAAACGTCCGGAGAGTCCTAGAAGTGGCATCCTACAAAAACACCTGTAAAAGGTGACTGTTAACAAATTTTTCGTCTCAAACATTTTGTTTATCAAATAAACAACGACAGTTTCCGAACTTTTAATTGAGACACGTTTTATTAAAAAAAAATATGTCGCCAGATACGAGACGTTTGCGTGTTCTCAATGATTGAAAATTAAGATGTATTTTACAATTTAAATAGAATAGAAAGCTTAACTTTCCGCGGGTTTTCTTAACTTTTAGGTTTGAACTTTTGTTTTCGAAAAATATTCTAAAGCCACCCCGTAAAAAAAGGAAAATTTACCGTGAATTCCAGTTCCGTTCGATACTCTAAATGCTAAAAGGCTTTTAATTTATGTTCTGTCTGGCTGTCTTGTATATTTTTGCCTTTTCTTAACTTATATTTTATCAAATAATGGGCATGTTTTGTTCCAAAGGTTGATATTTAGATTTACCATCATATTTTGATATTTCGGCGCGTGCGCAAACGTTTTTCCGCGGTGTTGGGTTAGGTAGGTAATTTGATGAAGAATATAATTGGGTAATGATTATATTTGCTCAAAGAGGATAGTTAAGTGATGAGTATAATAAGTAAGAAAGACCATTCGATATGGGAAATAAATGGGTAGGAATTGGTAATTGGGTGGGAAAGGTTAATGGTACCGCAAGACTAAGGCCTGCACAAGTTTTACTGAGTTTTAGCTTCACGTTTACGGCGAAATGCTAATCGCAGGTTCACGTTAGCGGTTAAACCAAAACCGCCAAGCTAAAATTTCAAATGGGGGAAAGGTCAGATGTCGCGATACACGGGATCATGTATGAACAAGCAGCAACGTAGAGCATGCATGCTTTTGTAAGAAATTAAATGCAAACCTCGTGTTGCCTTTGCGTCATCTGTCGTTGTTCTTCTAATTGTGATTGTTGTATTCCTAAAATGATTCAGATCGAAGATCGCATATGCACATCAACAGGTTGATAAAAGGGAGACCTAGACATCGTTTTTTACCGCTCAAAACATCCATAATATGTGCAGTGACTCGCGCTAGTCGTATATGACTTTCAGCCTATAAATGTTGTACGTTTGTAACAAGCGCTGATAACTATAAGCAATTAATATTGTGGAAAAACAGTGGAAGCTAGTTCGATGGAAGGACTGTCACCATATATAGTGATAAAAAACGGCGGGGAGAAGCAAGTTTGACGATAGCGTGTTCGGACGTATTTTATAATTTTGAGTGTTTTTAAAAAAATAAATTCAGTAGCTATATCCCATCGTATTAGATGTGATTGGATCGTTGGGCAGGCGGACTTGACCTCGACTAACACATAGGAATTGACCTCGGTGTATAATTGTTATATAGTATCATTTAACTAGTAACATTTTAGCCAGTAAATCCGTTTTTAGTAATGAACTTAAAATAATCTTATTTACACTATATGTACACAGACTCTGATTGTTCAAGTCTGCCTCAAACTGCCTCAATAAATCATTGGAAAACATACTCTTTTTTTGTAAAACGTTTGACAGAGTAGAATTTTCCTCCATTCTAGTTCCTTACACAGCCCTGGTGCTAACTATTCAGTACTGAAAATAATTAGACATCACAATTCACCAATGCAAGGGAAGGAATCTGTGTTCTAGTAGGTTCCGAAAATCTATTTGGCATAAAATTTTTGAATTTTTTCCAGAAAACAAAACGTCACGAAACACAAACGCAAGAAGTGTCTAACTTTTCCATAATCGCCATTAACACCAGGGCTGCGGAGTGAACAAGAATGAATAACAAATCTATCTCAAATTTACTTTCCCATAATTTATTCCTATCGAGCCACCTTAACTACATATAGAACAGGTCTTTTCTTGCCAGTTTCACATAACCCATGCATATACAAAAATTTGGATTTCATTCACCCCATACAACCCCGGAGTAGAAATCAAAGCCATGCTTTAGGTAGAACTCCATGCCATTAAACAAACCTAACTTAAGGCCGTGTTACACGATGCAACTTTTCCTGCAACTTGCAATGCAATTCTACTTTTCAAATTTCAAAGATGTAAACTTGGCAACTACGAAACCTGGTCCATAATTAGAATCCAATTAAGGAGGTTTTAATTTAATTAATTTACATCTCTCAAAAGTAGAATTGCACTGCAAGTTGCAAGAAAAAATTGCATCGTGTAACATGGCCTTTAGAAGTGTTTAATAAGAGAATAAACACGTCGCTTGGAGATACCGTACCTTTTGGATCAGTTTTACTATACGGTGACACTCCATAGCAAGGTTTTGTAATGTTGTATTCAATGTAGGGCGCATTGTCTTTGGATGAAGTGTTTCGGGTCAGTTTTCTTGATCTTGCTTTTGTCGATCGCGTTTTTTCGCCCATTACCTGGAAAGATAAAGAAATTTAGCATGCTGAGAAAATTGGTTGATTCAAACAGACAGGAAGTTGGTAAATTTTAGACGAATGAATTGATCAATTCTTGGTAATGAATTATTGCAATATTTTTAAACATCTCCATTGCAGCCACAGTAATATTCTTTCCTTACCAAGGCCGTGTATAAAGGGTCGAGTCTGGTCGACCCACGGTAAATCCATTCTGAACGGTTATCAATTTGAAATAACATCTAAAAACACAAAAAATTGCAGTATAATGAATTGCTTATAATGAATTGCTTGCTGCAAAAAATGAGAAGAGAGTACGCGGGAAATTGAATTCCGCTATTCACAGTATAATATATAGATAAGTTATTTTTGCAGTGGTGAAACCGAGAATTGGAATCAGGATTACTTCATATTTATATCTACAAACATGTCCATAGCATTGCACAGGAATTCCTACCACCAGGGGGTCGGTTGTATCAAGCCCGTTTAGCTTAAACGGTGGATTTAGCTTAAACGGTGGATAAGCTCAAAATAGAAAGCAAGTCTATCGTTTAATACAACAAGCAAACAAAATGTTTTTATTAAACCATAATACAAAAATACTGTTTACAACTACATATTCAGTGCATAATATTCAAGTTGACTCATTCAAGAGAGATGTAAGAGCGTTATTTAATTTTGACTTATCCACCGCTTAAGCTAAATGGGCTTGATACACCCGGCCCCAGGACCGTAGCTTGAAGCTTAATTGGGGCGGAGGGTGTATATCCATATACTCGTCCAATGGAAGCTATTATGAAAGCTAATTGTTCCTATGGTATATAAACATGAATATATGAATATAACCCCCCCCCCGTCCCTCTCCGATATAAGCAGTCTAGCTACGTACAGCCCTCCTACACTACAAGTGATTTTAAGAATGGTGCAAAGTTTAAGTTAAGTAAGCTAGATAAATACACGGTGCTATACACAATTCGCAACTTCGACGAAACGGTTTTCAGGATAATTTAGGGGACCTTACCCCAGTCACAGTTTCTAAGGTCAACCATTTCGTGTATACTTATACTTATACTAATAATGGGTGAAAAATGACTGTTTTTAATTCAGGAAAGCATCGTAATAATGGTAAAATAAATAAGAATTTCGAAACAAACCTTGACGAGGCTTCCGTCAACGCTCATCACTCTTGCTTTTAACCTGAAGAAAGAAGATTTCTTAAGCGATAAAACCAAGGAAGTCTATAAAATTTTGTATGATAATGAATAATTTTCTTGTAAATAAATAAACTGTAAACTGTCATCCTCTCACTAATTCTAAACTGCACTCTCTAATCAACTACTCGGTTGACCGGATTTCTATGCAAAGTACTAGTGTTGAAAATTTCTAAAGCTCACCATTGGCCTTTCCATTCCGTTCGAATCCACTGACCAACTCTTACATGCAACATAGGTCGCTGAAAGCAGAAAATATCATGGTCAATTCCTTGGAACGGTCCCCTAACATAAGGGCTCGGTAAGTGTGACACATGGGCTGAAATCATTGTCACTACATTACGTCATGAAAAAGCCGTGCTATATTTGAGTTTTTTATACTCTTTGTACAATATTTGCCTCAAATAAATGCTTTGAAAAAATCTTAAAAAACCAAAAATATATATACCGTAGCCAGCTAGTATGTTATTTTAAACACTCTAATTTCTAAACTTATATATGTTTACATAGTTACATGTACCGATGGATATTCCTCCAAGTACTCTTGAATGAAATCACGCGAGTCTTCAATCACATCTTCCCAAACATTTTGACCTAAAGCGTTTTATCAATATATATATATATATATATATATATATATATATATATATATATATATATATATATATATATATATATATATATATATATAAAGTCAAGATGTAACAAGTACAGGAGGGTTGATAGGAGGTAGCATCAACTATTAAAAGTTAAGGCCTTTTCCCACTCATCCCATGCAAGATCGCTGCGAGGGCTTGCATGTGATTAAAATCAACCTAAAAGTATTTTCATTGGATGAAAAACCCTCGCAGCGAGCTTGCGAGTTCGCCATTGCGATGAGTATAGAAGAGTCTTTAGTGAGTGATGAGAGTTGATGTGAGTCGATGAAATGACGAGGGATATAGATTTTTTACATTAACGGCAACTGCGTTGATCGTGTATTTCGAAATAGCCAAACGAAGAAAAGCAGCAAACGAATTGTGAAACTCACGACTCAAATTGACAAGATTTGATGCGAGAGTTCAATAACATAAGAGCTCGATAAAAACTCTTGAATTATGTTGGTTTCAAATGCTTATTAATGAAAAGTAATTTCAACTATATAATATGTCACGGGCGGTAACCTTTTCCAAGGGAAAGCTGAGGGAAAGCTCGCCTAATATTGTTAGTATTCTTTACATAAAGAAAGATAAAAAGATATTTGACCTGACGAGTACTCGTCGGAGGATGGACGATATGAATTGATTAAGACTTATTGACTGATCCCGGGGGAAACATCATGTTTTGCGGACCCGACCCACTAATGTTTCCCGAGGCGAATGTTTTATTAGCTATATAGCAAGTTTCAAAGGAAACAACGGGTGAAAATACGCCACAAAAACGTAGGCAGAGAAACTTTTCATTTTAAAAAGAAATCGGCTGAAATTCAAAGGTCATATGTTGCGTGATGTGACGTAGCATCAGGACTTCCGGCAACCAGCTCGAAAGTTTATGATCCTCTGGTTGCCGTTCACTAATAACTTGATTCAAACTGACAATCTTAAATGTGTGTAATCCAAATTTTTGTATATTTATATCCTTAATTTGTAAATTTTGCTAAACAGTGACGAATAAAAATTGATTGATTGATTTGATTTATTAGTTAAAAGTATTAACCTCCTATCAAACTGGTTTGAACCTGACAAACAAGATTTTGCGGTAAACATTCGGATTTCCCGCCTATCACGTGACGTAGTTTTAACCAATCAGATTCTGGAACAGATGAACTTCAAAACTTGCTATATAATCTTTCTTATGTCATATTTACCGAGACTGCATGGAGATGAAATGATCATAATCTGCATTAACCACTACCACTTACTGTACCTTTGTGATGAACTTTATGAATCTTTTTTATGGATAAATATTGAGCGAAGCCATCATCAAAGAAAACTAACAGTCGATTTTTGTTCCCATGACAAGCCATTTCAGCAATTATCCCGGCGTACCATATATTCAAATTCCCATATAAAGCTGTAATATTTACGAGATGTAAGTTACTTTGCAGTATATATCAGAACTACGGATATCTTTAAGTAATTATATTTATAAGATACGTAAAATCTCTACACCTAATCGCTAACTAGCTGTCTCCATACATATTGTATCACAATTAGTTTTCTATTCAGTCCTCGTGGAACCGCATAGAATTAAAACTGCCAGTTATTTGCATCATGCAAATACGTCACAATTACTATGGCAACAAGGAAATCCAAATGGCTCTTTCCACTCTTATTATTTAGCCTCTGACCAGGGCCGAAACAAAAACGATAATTTGGGGAAGGGGGCTCTACCCGACGGATCTTTTTTCATCGGGCAGAAATTCATCGGGCAGAACTGAATATATGAATATTCACCCCCTCCCGTATTATCGTTCTAGTTTCTGCCCTGCCTTTGCTCAAGAGCAAGAGAACCTACCGACAACCCTGCTTCCAACGCTTATATCACACATTGCACCAGGCTCCTCGGGACATATATGGTTGAGCGATAATACACCTTTTGGGCCTTTGTCATATTTCACACTGTATTTAACCTGGGAGAACAAATGGTGAAACACCTCAAGAGATGAATGAGTGAGAATAATAAAAGAGATGATAAAAAAAGAGATGATATTTTATAAGGACGGAACTATAACCGATACAGATATCTTATTTACATTACAGGAAAAATTGAGCGTGCTTTCTACAAGGCGGAATTGTGGCGAATTCTTACAATTGAAAAGAAAATTTAGCTAAAAATTCCGCCTAGAGGAAAAACTCCTCAGCTTCGCATGATAGCGCATAAACAAGAAAAAACGCTCCACGCAAAATTCCGCATAGCCGAAAACAGCCCTAATTTTATATCCGCATTGTGTTAAAAATACTGAAGAAAATATCAAGTGATAAAAGATGTAAAATAATAACTACAGGGTGTATCAAAAAAAACGCAACCACTTAATATTCATGAATATCCTCTTTGTTCTACAACACAAAAGACGTTTGGCCCCTGGAATGCGAGAAAGCTTGTAATCATATTCTAGCGGCACAATCGTCGGTAAACAAAGTCGGGTGCGTAAACCAACGAGCTAAATTGAAAGTATTTAACGAGTAAAATTTTATTTACAATTCATTTTACAAGGTCGACAGTTAGCATTCAAGTTATCATGCACGACAATAAAAACTCGTTGTTCAGTTGTTAGCTGCACCATTATTAGTTTAGCTGATTTGACCATTAGCAGTTGAACTGTACGATTAGAAGCCATTTTAAAATCCCAGGGGCATAAAATCTATTGAGCTTATGAACAATATGAATTTTAGAATATTAAGTGGTTGCGTTTTTTTTTGATACACCCTGTACAGGGAATATTATATTCATATATTCATCTTATGCCTGACTGATTTCTTTTGTTAGTTATTGTTCCTACGGTATTTAAACATGAAAATACGAATATATCCCCTCCCCCGAATTAGGCGGTCTCGCTACGGCCCTGAATAACTATCGAATGCTTCTCCTTTAGTTATAAAATTCTAATGCAACAACTACACGTTCTTATTAATACCTGACCAGTCCTATCTTTCAAGGTTTTAATGATCTGACCTAAAATTAGAAATGAAAATTTTTTGTTGGTTACGAAGATTTTATATGGGTCTGAATTCAAATAGGTATTGGAGGAGACAAATAGGTATGTTAAAGGAAACATGGGTATAGGAAAGAGGAACCATTCTAAGTAAAAAATCTGAGTATGAATGTTCAGTTACCATAGTTACGACTTACGAACAACAGACACGCCCAACGATGAAAAATGGCAGAATTTTATAAACACGACAGCTAACCAAATTTTAACGCTGTACTAATGGAATTGCTTTTATTTAGCTCAAAAATATGTTTGCCCAATTTTGCTTAGGCGCTGAACTAGAACAATTCAAATTAGTGTAATAATAGTTTGGCAAGCTATTAACATAAACCTCCGATGTATCTTAAAAGAAACTCTCTCTAGTTTACTTAAGCTAAACAAAATAGAATTTTTTGAGTTCATCCTTAAAACCAATTTGTGTGGAGTCTGGTCTGAAAATGTTATCAAGTTAATCGAGTACACAAAATTTGCCTGCAGCCGTTTAGCTTCGATCGAGTACAAAAAATATGCGTATATGCAGATGTTTAGTTTTGATCAAGTACGCACGCAGGATTTGCCTACAGACGTCTAGTTTTGATCAAGTACGCATGCAGGATTTGCCTACAGACGTCTAGTTTTGATCAAGTACACATGATTTGCCTACAGACGTCTAGTTTTGATCAAGTACACATGATTTGCCTACAGACGTCTAGTTTTGATCAAGTACACAAGATTTGCCTACAGACGTCTAGTTTTGATCAAGTACACAGGATTTGCCTACAGACGTCTAGTTTTGATCAAGTACACATGATTTGCCTACAGACGTCTAGTTTTGATCAAGTACACAAGATTTGCCTACAGACGTCTAGTTTTGATCAAGTACACAGGATTTGCCTACAGACGTCTAGTTTTGATCAAGTACACATGCAGGATTTGCCTACAGACGTCTAGTTTTCATCAAGTACGCATGATTTGCCTACAGACGTCTAGTTTTGATCAAGTATGCATGATTTGCCTACAGACGTCTAGTTTTGATCAAGTACACATGATTTGCCTACAGACGTCTAGTTTTGATCAAGTACGCATGATTTGCCTACAGACGTCTAGTTTTGATCAAGTACGCATCCAGGATTTGCCTACAGACGTCTAGTTTTGATAAAACAGACCGAAATAAAGACTCTCGCTTTAATAATAACAGTGATGCCTTCTCCTCATAACATTGATATAAAATGGAAAGCTCACTACAGCAGAATTTATATTATAATATGTCATCTATTTGGTCATACCTGGAAACCAAATATCACTGGATCTCTTGCCAAGCACTCTTGTACCAATCGTGAAATCAGAGGGACTGTGAGGTCGAGCACTGCGAATATTAAGAAAGATTATTATTTAAAACAGCATATATAACATATAGATTTTGTGTGCATTTTGTTTGGTAGAACTATTTCTACGAATGCTTATCTAACCACTGCCTGTTAGAGGCACTCGCAAATCTAAGATGCCTTGTTTTAAAAGTGTTGTTTTGTTTCAAATGCCTTGTTTGACCATTGACTCGAAGACGTCAGGCTAACTATAAAGAGAGCCTCATCATCATCCCTGCATCATAACATCAATCTTAAAAAGTTATTTAAATCGTATAAACAGAATAAATTGAGGGAACCCAAAATACATTCTAGCCCTGCAAGCCATTTTAACTAGTCGAATTTTTCGTTTAATGCAATGGCCACTACTACTCATTATGGTAGCGAATTGGGTAGCAAAATGGATCTGCATTGTACAAAAGCCAGTGTGGCCATGTTTGTGTGCGAACACCACTAGGGTCTTAGTTAAGAGGTGATGGAGTAAAGGAAGTACTTTGCCCCTGTCCCACAGCATTCTACTTTTGAAGGATGTAAACTAGTGAAGAGTCTACAAAATGTAAAAAGTCCATGGAGTGTAATAACAGAAAAGTTTCGTAGTTGCGAATTTATATATCTCTCAAAAGCAGAATTACATTCCTTTGCAAAACACAGAATGAAAGATACTAACGTTGGTTTGACGTCTTTGTCCTTTGATACCGGTACTTCTAATTTCCTTTCCAGTTCCCTCAACTGACTTTCATTAGTTGATGTAGACGGTTCTTGCGAAGATTTCTCTTGAGAATGGACATTTTCTGCCTCGCTCTTTTGAGAATCTTCCGCCACGCTGGATTGACTACCGTCTGTGCAGGGGGAGGACGCTGTCTCCGTTGAAACATCACTCTCGGGAACAGACGCTGCTGGAACTGATGACGATGAGGGCCTGAGGCGTGAAAAAAAACCATTGTAAACAAAAATGGGAATGAGAGACACGATGGGAAGCGGCGCGCAGAAAAATGTTTTGGGATCACTTATAGGCTCGGTCATCAAGCACGGAACTATATATTCAACTGGATTGACAACCGATTAATTTTATAACATATATAGATTGAGCACTGTCAGTATAAGGCAAAACTACGATGGATTCGAGCAACGATCCGGTGGTCGAGGAGTCATGAGGTTGAGCTGCGTGTGAAATATCCTGGTTCGAATCTCAGTAAAGTACCATTATTTTCGCTTTCTTTTCTCACTCACTTCTTTTAATTTTTATAAATTCAACGTTCACAATACCGTTTGGTTAGATTTAGGCACTATATACAAAGTTCTACATATTATAAAATCCATCGGTTGTCAATCAAGTTAATATATAGTTCGTTGCTTGGTAACCGAGCCTTAAAGTTTTCCCAAAATTTTTTTTCCGCAAGCGGCGTTCATATCATAAAACTATATATATGTCGAAGCTAAGGATGGACCACTTGCATAATAGATCAACTAGTGATCTAGGTAACAAGAAGGGAAAATTTGAGAACAGCACAGCTGAGAACAGCATACTGAAATTAGTATAATTGCAAAGCTTGGTTGCAAAATGTGGAGTAGTATGGAAAATATACCCAAGCGAAGTAGGCAATTTTTGTATACAAAGTATATCTTCAGTACTTTACAACATTTCGCAACCAAAAGTGGAAGTTTTACTAAGTATCCTTTTTTCAGAATTTCCCTTTTTGTCGCCTGAATCAAAAGTTGGTCTATTGCGCAACTAATGCAAGTGGTCCATTATTAAACATAATTATATACTTTTCAAAACCTATATTTTAGTTTAGTATATTAGGATTATAAGCGAGAGGGTATAAAACATTATATCAGGTTGGTGTGGAAAAGGGCCAGTCGGCGCGTCTAAAACACTATTCCACATGTCCATTAATTTTTGTTTCCATTCCACTGAAAATTAAGAACCATTTAATAATGCGATGAAGGACAAATCTACGCTGTTAAACGGTTTAGACGGAAAAATATACTTTCCATGATTGATCCCTTTTGAGCTACCTTAAGTCACTTTTCATGCTACTTTGTTACATTGCTGACATACCCTGTTAAAACAACTTCTCCTGGCGTAGTTTCCGAGCTCAATTCAGGACCAGTCTCCGTTGAAATGTCTGGGGTTTCTGTAAAGCACAAGTGCACACAATGAGATTGGCTAATTTGTTTGTTGCAAATTCATGGTAATATTTGCTGTTAAACTGTATATATAGGCTATTATACGGTCATTAGTGAAAACAAGCCAGTGATACAGTGAGAATTTGTGACGTGAATTTAATAGAAGTTTGCAATTTTTATTATTATAAAATTCTGGCTATTTGTTAGAGATAGGGATGACGGAAGCTATTTGCCAAAAGAATATTTACATCTGATTGATAGATGACGTCATTTTGAGAGTATATAAGGAACCGAGTTTCAACATCAGCTCACCCCTGATGAAGACACTAGACCGGAGTGTCGAAACGTTGGGTCGTGATCGAATGTAATCTTTGTGCGGTGATTACTTTCATTAATTAAACCAGAGTAGCGATAATTGCGACGGATTATACACCTGGTTGCCGTGAGCTTATATTAACTTCAATTCGATATTATAAAACAATTCTACCATTCACTCTCGTGATTTTAAACGTCTGCATAGCCAACTTGGAACGACTCGAGCTTATCGTATAATAATTGTTGGCATAGCAAAAACTGCCAAAAGCTGGCCGACGGTTTTTGTCTGACTGGAGACTGCAGTTCCAGAGAATGTAATTGTTAAACTTATAAAAAAAGATTTAGCCGTTGTCTGTTCAACAATAGACACACAGGTGACGTCAGATCGTCGTAAAAACGAAAAAAATATCATGAGATTGGCTACGGCTACGAAATCTAGTACGATGACGTGATTTTTTTTGGTGGATTATATACTGCTGAGGTTATATACCGTCCTTTAATTTGAACACCACATCATTATAACAACAGTTGTACAGATTCAAGTACCATGAAAAGTATTTGAAGGCAGATATTTAATAAAAAAGAGTCGTAATGGCGCATAAAGTAGAATTTTTTTAAGCTTAAAGCTAAACTAGGGCTTAACTCGAATGATAAAGTCGTGTTTCGTACTTCGAGTTGATGCCTCCACAAAAAAGGGTGTGTCACGAGCCGGCTTTACTCGAAAACAGCTTAATTAACTCGATAGGTTTTCGTATCTGTGTCACAATTCATTCCAAAAAGCCCGGTCGTAAAGAAATCATTCTAACCTTCACAAACCGCCGAAGTATCGTTTTTTGGCTCAATGGTCGGTGATTCTTCATGAATAATAGGACTGGAGCTTGGTTCCTGCTGCGATATTTCTTGTCCTGGTTCCTCTAATATTTCTACGGGTTCCACTGTATCTTTGATTGGAGTCACAGGCTCTTCCGGTTCATCAACGATCTGCTTCGGGTCGTCTTCGTCGTCAATGACAATGGGAGTGTCTTTTCCCGCGCCAATTTGAATATTAACGTCGTTATTCCTAGGCAACAAGTTTATAAAATCAGATATTTACTACATGAAAAGTGAATAATTGGTTTAGTTTAGTCCTATTAGACTCTTTGGCTGGCAAATCAAAATACGTTTTGCTAAAAACATTGCAATTAACAACATTACGACAAAAGAATTGCAGTTTTGGAGACTTACATTTACGTTTACACTTACAATTACGTAATATTGGAAGGTCTTAAAACTCGTACCGATCGATCGAAAAGGACTTATTCCACATAAGATGACAGACTACAATTGCAATATGTGATATCACAAAAGCCCAATAGGAAAGAATTATCCAGGTGATCTCGCGCCGAAATTTTAGTCACAGTTTGTTGAAATAGAAATCCATTCCGCAGTATTTAATCAATTGTATCTTTTGTTATTCTTTACGAAACCAGTTTAGTTGTGAATACTACAGTATAGCTGTGAATACTATATGCTACACCAATTTTAAGGTATATGCAACATGAAATATGCTATTCAATGCTCAATATTTATATTTGTTATTAAAAAAAACACAAAACAAAATCCAGTACTTGGCTGTGTTACTTGGAGTTTTCTCATAGTCACAAGGTGGATTTCTACTTGCTGGGAATCGCTCATGAACAGATAAAATACTGACATCAGTGCTCCTTCTAAAGTTGAGAAAAGACAGGCATAAACAAGATAGTTAGGCTACACTATGAAGGAAAGAAGTTTATACAAATAGATTTTGATAAATATGAAAATATTCACAATATTTTTAGGAAAGTAAAGGAAAACACAGAAATGTATCTATTGTTGTTGGCAGCTAATGCTGTTGTTGACGGGTAAACAACAACAATGTAAGCATGTGGCAGCTAATGGTGTTGTTGACGGGTAAACAACAACAATGTATGCATGTGGTAGCTAGCTCATAAAATTTTGAATTTAAATTTCGTATATTAAAATGATATTTCTATGCATAGGCAACTATAATGAAGTACAAAATGGAAAAAAAGATTTGTATTAGCAGATGATTTGAAAATCTACATCCTACATAAACTTCTATCTAATTATGTTTACATTTCATGCATGTAACACAGCCGCAGCTATACTAAATACATGTCTTCTACTTTCCTCTTTTAAATGTTAATTGTGAACAAAAGATACCCAATTTCCACGGAATTAACTAAATTACCTTTCTGTTTGAGGTATTCCAAGATTTTTTATTTGAACTTCTAGTGACTCCAGGAAACCTTTCAGCTCCTGTTGCTTAGCTAAATGGAAAATCATTGTCATCCTGTTAGCTGGAAATGAACAACACTTAACCATGTAAAAAAGAAATTTTGAAACAGAAAATTGAAGAAATTATGTACAAAGCACAATTCATTGATTGCTGCATGTGGGGTAGTGATCGATGCCAATGACAACATTGAAATTAAACATTGAGGACAGAAGTACTTTTTTTGTTGTTGGTCAGCAATATGCACATATGCATAGAATAAAATGAATTATTGTTAACCTTAGCATGTTTTTACAAATTGTTAAAATTACAGTTGTCTAGGTAAAAGAAAGACAACAAGTAAACATATGAAATTCATAATTATGAATTTCATATCTCTGAAGACGGTTCTGAGGTAATTACCATATTGCTGTTAATACAAATATGATAACCTCAAATTATCAATTTCCACCATTGACAGAAGGAAACAATACTTTGTTCAAATACAATATTATTGATTGAACGTTTTTAGCAGTCATATATGTAAGATTAAAATCCAACTTAATGCCTCTACAAATACTGCAATCACTAAACAGCGAAATTACAGTTTGAACATAGGGAATAAGAATTAAGGCGATAGGATGGCCACTTTGCAAGAAAATTGATAAAAACTTTGAAATTACCTGAAATGTCTTCAACACGATTGACAAATGTACTTGTTAGTCTAAAATTGAATTGAATTTCATTAAATAAGTTGAGCCTTCATCTTTCGTCCAGGAAGATATCCTAAAGCCATGGTTATTTCCGATATTTCAGTATATACGGAGAGGTTTTACAGGTGTATGTTTGTTGTAATCTAGACTTTTACTATCATTTTTCCCAGACATGTTGTTGCTGGTTAATTAGTTGTTTTGATCACTTGGCATTAGATGAAAATTTCCAATGTACAACACAGCTGTGAAAATAGCTTTTTCCATTGCATGGTTGCTTTGACTAGTTTCAATCACTCACACTTTGCTCACAAATCCAAAATAAAATGGCCAGATCATTATTAGTATACAAACTCTAGTTACACAGAGCCGAGGAAAAAATTCTGTTAGAGTACTGGTGTAAAAAGCATACATCCTGCAACCCTGCATGCCCAGGCAATATATCTTCCTTCACCTATTCCATACTGGAAATCTTGGGCATTAAATTTGCATATATATATTGTCCGTTTTGTTCGACTATTTGTGTTCCATGAACAGAAACAGTAAACTAAATCCAAGTGAACAAGCAGAATATAAAAATTGATACCTTAAATAACGTAACTTACAATATTTTCTACCTGTTTGTAAATGTGTGAAATGGGACTCACTTAAATGGTTTGTAAACTTGGTGTTTTGGCTTTTGTTTCATTCACTAGCTATAAAAATACTCCCACAAACCAACGATAGATCTATTTCCTTCTATATATAATAATTCAACGATTTGATGAAAGGCCAAAGCACACTATAGCATCATTTCAATTTGATTACTGATAACATTAGTTTTCGAATCAATATAGGCTATTTTAAAAAATAGAATTTATTCAACGCATGTCTATTGATTGTTGAACAGTGTTTATAAACTTACAGATTCAATTTGTCGCCTGATCTTGCCTTCTCGAACTCAATATCAATTATATTTTTTACTTCCGTCAACTTTATTCCCACCGACCTGCTCACCATGATTTATAAACTTTTCATTGACAATAAAAGCTCCACTCATAATTCCCACAACACAGCCGCCATTTTGACTGTTTTGACTTCTGAGCAGTCGCCAGTCGTTGAACCAATGGGGTGATTGAACCGCGACGCGTGAAGTGAATTTGAGGTATTGAAATGAGTAAATAACACGAACCTGGTAAAGTCTACTGAAATTGAGGTAAAATCGCGTAAAAACTATCTATGGTTCATATTTGCATCCTCGCAACTACTATCAAAAAAACTACCATAATAAGTTGAAAGCAAGTTTAATTTCTTCCGCTCTACGTACGCGTCTGCCAACTGTAAAATGGCCATTTTGAGACGATTTGTTTTTGCCAAGTGCAATCTTCAATTTCAAATCTTTTGTGCAACAAATATTTTGTTGAACATTTGTAAAACTCTTTTGCTTACGAAATTTAAACTCTATAAAGTATTGAGAATTATAGCTAAGTCTATATGAATGTAGTCATGTAGACTAATTTCCTCGGTGTCGATCTATCAAACCTTGCTCATTAAAATCATGTACTTGTGAATGTTTTAAACTTTGCCTTGAACATGTACTAAATTGCTACTAAACTAATCGCTCGCTAAATCTTAATATATAAACCAGCCAGTTTCAAAACAATTACAAGGTAAAAGTCAGAACTTGAAAGACAAAACAGGCGAAGTTTTTAATACAGAACTACTTTACGCAAATCAGTTATGATTTTTGGCACTTCATTTCATGCAGGTAAATTCTAAAGGTTCAAAGGGTCTTAATTTTGAGTGGAATTATACAAACATCAAATTCAAGCCAGGAACAGTTGATGAAAAATGATTCAACCATAGGTCCTCCGGCAGGAATCAAACCTACGCTTTTGCGATGCCGCTGCAGTGCTCTTGCCACTGAGCTACAGAGGTAGCTGACAAGAGCAAGCGTGATTAATATTCGAAGGGACTAATGCAAGGAAAAATTGTTTAAAGAAAATAGGATAGGGAATGTGCATGAAGGGAATAGTGAAGAGGATGTGCGTGATTGCGTGAAGCAAATAATGAAAAGGAAAGTATTAATGCAGAAACAGAAGTAGGGGATGTCTGTGGGGAAGGGTCAGCTTCCGAAAACTCGTGCTCAGTGTCCTCAACCCCGGAAGTTGATGTTTCTAGAAATAAAAGGTTTAAAAATTGCCAGCTAGAATGTAAATAGTCTTGTTAAGCATATTAACGAAATTCGAATTCTACTGAGTAATCACCCTTTTGATATATTGACAATCAATGAAACAAAAATCAGTCGACTCTGAATTCCAGACTCTGAAATATATATAAATGGATATACAATTATCCGGAAAGATCGTGATAGAAAGGGGGGGTGAAATCGCCTTTTTTATTAGAAATACCTTATCTTACTCTAAAAGAAAAGATTTAGTTCCAGAATCAGGAAACCTCGAAATCATTTGTCTAGAAATTAATAAAAGATACTGCACTTCATTTATCGTAAGTAGCTGGTATCGACCACCTAATTCGAAACTTGAGCTATTTGATAATTTTGAACTTTTTCTGTTCAAATGTGATTTAGAAAATAAGCAATTGATACTTGTTGGAGATATATATGAATTGTGGTTTCAGCAAAACGCCATCTGACCCGCACTCTCGCAGATTGCAGTTTTTGTGTTCTATGTACCAGCTTTTACAATTAATTAATGAACCAACGAGGGTTACTGAAAAATCGGCTGACGGCAACACTTATTGACCTTATTTTGACTAATAGACCAGAAAATATACTGAAGTTTGGAGTTATTCATCTCGAAATTTCAGATCATAGTTTGATTTTTGCTGTGCGGAAATTCAAGCTCTCTAGATTTAGTTCTACCATTATTAAAGAAGTCCGTAATTTTAAACATTTTTCTGTTGATGACTTTCGCAATGACGTATTACAGGTCCCCTGCATGGGACGTTATATTTACTCTGATGACCCTAACGCGTGTTGAATATTATGGAAATCGCTTTTCAATGAAATTCTTAATAAAAATGCACCATATTATAATAAACGAGTCAGATCTCGGAAAAATCGCTGGATTACATCAACCATTAAACAATTAATGCGTGCATGATAGGAATTTTCATAAAAAGAAAGCTATCAAATTCAATTCTAAATTTCTCTGGAGTGAATATCGGAATTTACGAAATAAGGTAAATGCAGAAATGAAATTAGCAAAATCTCGTTTTTATCAATGCGAATTTCAAAATTGTTCTAGATCAAGTGACCTTAATAAGACCTGGTCGCTGATTAATCCCCTTATTGGTAAGAATAATAGATCCTTCAATATTGATGCATGAGATTATAATAAATAACGACATCATCTCTGTTCCAATATATAGTCATTGCTGAATCTTTTAACGACTACTTCGTTAATATTGGTCCAAAACTATCGTGCGAAGCAAGCCAAGAATTCCATGATGAAGGCCTGCCAAATAATTACACCCGTCCTTGCTCTGTGTTAAATCATAATCCATTCTGTTTCTTTGAAACTAGAATAGAAAATGTATTTATGAATCTACTGGATAAAATACCAGCCAAAATACTAAAGTTAGCATCAGACATCATTGCCCGTCGCTAACATATAATTATATATTTTATCTATCATTTGCCACTGGCATCTATGTTGACGATTGGAAACATGCACGTGTAACTCCTATATTTATAAATCTGAGGATAAAAGGAAACATGAGAACTATCGACCGATTTCAATTCCACCAATTATAAGGTCTATGAAAGGGAGGTGTTTCGTCAGGTGCACCAATACCTGTCTGAGAACTCTCTGCTTTCTAGATTTCAATCCGGATTTCGGCCTAAACATTCAACACTGTCAGCATGTGTGATAAGTGGTTGCAAAACATGGATCACGGAAATCTGAATTGTGTAGTATTTCTTGACGTTCGGAAAGGGTTCGACTCAAAAAATCATAAAATACTACCACAAAAATGCATGACTATTTTGGCATAACTAGCAAAGAACTGGAGTGGTTTAAATCGTATTTAACCAATACAGAGCAACAATGCACGCGGTTAATGGCCAGACTTCATCACCAAAGAAATTAATCTGCGGAATTCCAAAGGCCCCTATATTGTTCTTGTTATATATAAACGATATGCCTCAATGTTTAAAATTTTGCACTCCCTCCATGTATGCTGACGACACAGAAATCATCTATTTTAATTCTATACGGAAATCTATTTTATTTTTTATCAATAACACACCAGTTCCCAGAACGGAAAAACTATACATGCTTGGGTGCTGACATAGACGAACGGCTTAATTGGAAAAAACATATAGATAAGATCTGTGCGAAGGTTGGGGCTGGAATTAGAGTTATGAGAAGGATGAAGGCTTTTGTACCTCTGGAAATACTCAAGCTGATATATAATGCTCTGGTGCAACCGTATTTTGATTACTGTAGCCCCCTTTGGGACAGTTGTGGAAGTGGCCTCAGAGATAAGCTGCGCAGAGACCGCAAAATCGTGTTGCGAGAATTATAACGGGGTCTAATTTTGATATTCGATCTGATGATGTGCTGGATTTGTTAGGTTGGGAGTCTCTAGACGTGAGACGTAATGTCTAATGATATTAAATCGATTTACATGTATAAAATAATTAAAGATCATATACTGCTCCAAATTTAAAACAGTTTATTTCGACGATTCCCCCTTTTGAACCTCATGGACGAAAGGGACAGGTTCGTTTTCCTGAAGGAACATATTATGATGACTTTGTGCGAAATTAAACTCATTAAAAAGGACCGGAGTTTAAAATGATTATATTGCTTGCCCACCCTCCAAAATCGAAATAATTAAATCTGTAACTTAAGCGGTTATTCTTCCAAAATAAGTTATTTTTCGATTGTTTGATATAATAAAACAATTTACCCGCGTTTTCTACCATAATTCGCAAGAATTTACCCACGTTTTCTACCATTATCATCCGCAAGAATTTACCCGCGTTTTCTACTATTATCCGTAAGAACCTATCCGCATCCGCGTTTTAACCATACCGTGTTAACACGACGCCATTACCCAAACAACAACTTTAATGTGTCACGTGGTACCTGAATACAGTACCCAAAGAACGTATTGTAACATCTTCCCCTTAGTTATGTCGCTCGGAAGTCCAAGCAAGATTTTAAGTACAACAAAATTTAAATGTCTTTTAACTTTCAAGTAGCATCACTGCTAGAGTTCTAGACATATTGACATAACATGGACGATTTTCATTGTTATCAGTTTCACTATTTATAGAGTTCATAGATATATTATTTACAGATTTCTTGTAGGCGTTCAATTGCAATCATAGTCTTCAAGGTAACTGGGTGGCCTTCTTTGACGTTGTGGTCTGTTGCCTGCCAAGGTTTGTGGTGCAGGAACGGTTGTTGGGCCTATGGGTGCTGTCTTTTCCTGGGTTCCATCATCATCCAATGCTGCATGGGTCATCCAGAGGTTTATCATCCTCGCTGCTGCTGAACGGCTCATCAGATCTTCTTAAGTGTACTCTATTCCGCCTATATGTTTCGCCCGCTTTTGTTTTGACATAGTAAGATCGTTCATCATGTTTGGATGTGACAACTGCTTTTCGCCATTTGATTTCGGCAAGGCGAGTGGACTTCATACGCACCACGTCTCCTATTTTGAGCTTGCTGAGGTTTTTCGTTGATCGATTATAGTACATCGCTTGTGTGCTTTGTTTCGTCCTCAGCTTATTCTGTCGCGTTTGCAGTGACGGGTCAGAGGGCTGCAGTAGGCTGGTCGTCATCATTAGTAGCGTTCTAGTGCGTCTGTTCATGAACCGTTGTATCGGGCTAAGGTCCATGCCCTGGGATGATGGGGTGTTGCGGTAACTCAACAAAGTCACTTGGAAGTCAGATCCGGCCAGGGTAGCCTTTTGAATGAGACGTTTCGCTGTTTTGACAGCTGATTCCGCCATGCCATTTGACTGGTGGTGCTCGGGGCTCGAGGTGAGGTGTTGAAAGTCCCACTTCGTCGAGAATGTGGCGAATTCAGCAGAGATGAATTGAGGCCCGTTATCAGATATTGGAATCTCAGGACA